CCCCTTCTTTCCTGGCGAGACGCCGCCAGGATGAGTCGGACAGTTCTGATTAAGTTGCCGTGGCACAGGGCGGCCTATCTTTCTTTCATTGCACGGCCCGATGCGACTGACCCTTTTGGCAGGCATCCGTGCTTAACCCCGCATCTGGGGCGAGACTGAGGTCGTCCTGGCGCTCTCTGCACCAGGGGCTTCGGACCTCGTCGTCCTTGTGTGGGTGGTCGAGTTTTCCCAGTGGCGAGGGTTTGCCGTCCTGTGTTACTTGCGCGGCCCGATGCGGCTGGCCCTTTTGGCAGGCATCCGTGCTTTACCCCACATCTGGGGCGTGACCGTATGTCGTCCTGGCGCTGGCTGCACCAGGGACCGCGGGCTCGCCGTCCTTGTGTGGGTGGTCGAATCTTCTCCTTTGATGTGTTTGTGCTGTTCGTTGTGCGTGCGTCCGTCGTGCACGCGTGTCAGGCACCCCATTCTTGGGGGAAGGTGCATGCACACTTAGGGTGCGCTCTGCGTTTCCGAGCACGGGGGTATCTTTATCGCGACTGTGGCTCGTCCGATGTTGCTGCGGCCTGGGGCTTTGGTTCCTGGCCCCAACATCCTCTTGTTAGGCGTTGGGCGCGCGTCTTCGTGTGTGCGTTCGTTGCGCGCCCCTCCGCCTTGCCCCCCACCGCTTATAGCCACTGGCGTGTGGGTGGGGCTCTGTCTCGCTCGCTGTCCCTCTTGTTCAGCCGGGGGCAGTCGGCGCGAGAGAGCCTTCCAGCTGCTATGCCTTGCAGTTGGATGTTTTTTGCGCTGTCAGCTCTGTGCCCTCCGTGGCACAGCGCGCCTGCCCCCTCTCATAGAGATGTTGTGGCAGGTGTGCGACGAGCTTGGGCACTTGGACGCAGTGGTATTCGTCCTCTCGTCGTGCCATTTTTTGCGCGGTGACCCTGGTGTTTACCTTGGTCAAGGTGCCAGCATCCCCCTCCGCTGCTGGCTCGTTTCCTTGGTCAGTCCTAGGTTTTGGAGGCGTGGCGTTGATGTCAAAAAGAGGCTCCACCCTCGGGCTACCTGATGGGCGACGCTCTCTTGCACGGTCTTCTCGTGCCGGTCCTCTTTGTCTTCGGGTTCGTGCACGTGGTGTCCACGGTGTCGGTCGACGGCCATCTGAAGTCCTACCTGTGCGACAAGGTTGTCCTTTGGCCTCGGGTGCGCGCTGGTCACGGCTACATGGATACAGCCGCCGCCTGACGTGGCCTACATCCTACGCGCTCGACCTCCTGCTCACCTGGGGTGCGCCGTTTGTGCCTCTTCGCCTGGCTCGGGGTCCAGATGCGCGGCACCGCAACCCGCACTACGGCCACCTGTGGGTCTTCTTCCGCGCCATTTTGGCTGCGTTTCCGCCTCCGTCCTCTTCGTCGCCCTCCTCGTGCTCTCGGGGCGCTTCATGTGCTTCTTGTTCGACAGGTTTGCGGCGCTCGAATGCTCTTCGCCGTCGGCACGCTCTTCGGCAGCTGACCGACGCCTGGTTGGAATCGCGGTTCTTCCGAGCGCTGCCGCCTGCACTATTTTTCACTTAACCACCGAGCGCGGTCCGCCCTAGCGCGCTCGGCGTTTGACTCGTGTCGCGCACCCGCGAACCAAAAAAAATATATGTCAGACGTCTCAGACAGGTCCCCCCTCAGGGGTACGCAGACATCCGCGCCGCGCGCACCGCGGCCGAGGCTGCCGAGCAGGCCTTTTCCAGGGGGCGGCGCGCGAGCGCGAAGGTCACAACCCACGAAACCACCCCAACCCCACCCGAAGGCCCCAGTTGGCCCTCCGCTCCCAGTGCGGGGCGGGGGGTCTGAGAACATATGACGAAAACGCGCGTGAAACGCGCGCCCCCCGCAGCCCGAAGTTCGGGTGTTCGGATTGGGTAGTTGGGTGGTCTGGTAGGTGTAGTTATCGAAGGCCACCGCTCATCGCGGGGCGCGGGGGACGAGGCGCGAAGCTGGGCAGCCTCCCGTCCCGACGCCGACAAAGTCAGGACTTCTCTTGGGGGCGCTCAGGACGGGCTTCTGGCCTTCGGGGGCCGCTCACCTCGGATTCCAGGTCGGGGAGCACGGTCTCCTCCTTGGCCAGGAGCGCCGGGCGCGAAACGCGACGGGCGAAGCTGGGCGGCCTCCACTCTGGACCCCGGACGCTCCGGCCTCTGGCCTGCGGGGGCCGCTCTCCTCGGCCTCCAGGTCGGGGAGCGCGGTCGTGGCCGGGGCTCCTCCGTGGCCAGGTGGGGCCTCTCTCCGTGCCCCGAGCAGGTGCTTTTCACCTGCAGCAGAAGGTGGCCGATGCGGCCCCCCGTCACCCGCAGCGGGCAGGAGCGCGGGGCGGCCAGGGCGCTCGTCGCGCGAGGTCCCTCGTCGCCGTAAATAAAGTGTCGGGGGAGACGAAAGGCTCGAGTAAACCGGAGCTCGGGTTCGCCTGCGTTTTTTGGCGAGCCCGCCCTTGGTTTTGACGGTGCCGTTTTCGTGGGGTGGTTGCAGCGTGAGCTCGCGGCAACTTTCAGTCTGGGTGTCGTCAGATTGTTTGATGGCCCCGTCAGGCCAACCCGAACCACCCGAACCCGAGCCTCCCGTCTCCCCGAAAGCGGGAAAAGGGTTGCCCTCGGCACGGGCCGAAAAAGTCAGTCGTGGGGGCGAGGGCGACCGAGCCGATTCGGGATCCCACAAGGGGGGGGGGGCAGCGGAGGGGGGAATGTGATCGGTTTTTTGCACCAGACCGCCCAAAGCAGATGTCCCCCAGCCGCCAGCAGCTCCCGATGGTTGCCGACGGGTGGGGCATGCGGGGGGCATCTGTTTGCAGCAGTTCGGTGCACCAACGGATCGAACTCATGCCCTCCGTTTGGGTCACCTCCCTCTGGTGGATCTCGACCAATGCAGGACGACTTCGAACTCGTCGAACCAATGCTGGAATATTTCGATTTCCTCGATCCTAGAACGTGCTGAGGCCATGCCGAATCAGCACTCGGTATTGCATTACCGATGCATCATCGATGCGTGCCTCCATCTGGGCAGCGGGCAATGTGTGCGTCACTGCGCTTGCACCGAACATGCGTCACGAGGTTGCACGTCGTTCTTTGTGGCGGCGTCGATCAAGAGCTCGGTGGACCTACGTCGTGTATTGTCGTGAAGACCGTGGGGGAACAAAGACACCCCTGAGCTGCCTGGTAGATCTGCTCAGCGGCCCTGCGCGCCTGCTAGAATGCCCCTGCCCTGCTCGAAGCATTCCTCAGGCGCCAAAACGGGCGGGGTCCTTGTTTCGACTACACATAAGAGTGACCTTTCGCCGGAGTGACCTTTGGTGCGGGCCCGATGGGGTCCCCCGATCGCTGAGCGCGAAGCGGTAGCAGCGGCTTGCGCGCCCAGGTTTGGCCACCCCGCGTCCCCCGTTTTGCCGCGCACCAAAGGTCATTTTTACCCAGGGTCACTCTTACGTGTAGCCGATTGTTGTGTCCTCTGGCCCTCCCTGCTGCCTGCCTCCTCTTCCTGCCGCCGCAGACGACCCTTGTCGCCGCGTTGGCTTTTCTGCCGCACCGCTGCGCAGAGCGCAGGGCGAGGCTGAACCACCAGACTCGGCGGTGAGCGAGGGGGCAAATGATAAGAAAAAGAAGGCCCTCTCAGAAGGCGGCGGGACTTCTGAGACGCCCTTGCGCCTTTTGGGTAGTTCTCTGCGTCTTCGGGGAAGGCTCAGGAAACCTCTCAGACCCTCGATGGGGCTCTCGTGCCAGGAGGCGGGCTACGCATGGCGTGGCTGACCCTGGGCCAGCGGTGTGGCCACAGGCCTCTCCAGCGCACGGCTCCCGCATTGGGATCGAACACGCCGGCGCTTCGCGTGTGTCCGGTAGCAACTCATGGGGGCCCGGTGTACCCTTTCGATTCCGTCTTTGGCGTCGACTAGCGTCGACTAGCGTCTGTGAGCCGTTGTGAGCTAGAGCAGATTTGGCGTCGGTCAGTGCCGATTAGCGTCGATTTAGCGTCGACTAGTCGACTAGCGTTGATCCAGCGTCGATTAGCGTCGATCTAGCGTCGATTCAGCGTCGATTCGCAAGAGCCGACAAGATGGTATGGGAGGCTCCCCCGAGTTGCCACCGAACGTGTGTCCAGCACGTGGCGTCCGCTGGCGGCTTCCCCTCCTCATCTCTCGCGGCATACACCCTGTGCCCCCCTGGGCCTCTCCACCCCCTTCCCGTGGGCTGGCACTCTTCGTCTCTTGAGGGCCCTGGGGCCCGATGCAGGCTTCAGAGGACCAGGATCCGTTCCTTGATCCGGTCCTATCGGACAAGAGCGAATGCCATAAACATACACTTTTGGCGCTCCGCGAGGATTTCTTGGATCCGCGCTGGAGCCCCGCCAGTCGGCGCCTCCGGCACCGCCCCTGGCGCGGATCCAAGAAATCCGTGCGGAGCGCCAAAAAATTCTGTTTATGTTTTTGTTTCTTTCTTTTTCTATTCTCGTCATCCGCGTAAGTCGACGACGACGACGACCACCACTTCCCGTACTCGCCTTATTTTTCCGCCAGTGTGACGGTCTTTTGGGTTCCAGAAGGACGTGGTGGTCTATGCGGCCCGCCTGTATTGTCGCTGGCTGCCGACGTGGCCCCCAGAAGCGCCCCAGAGGATCCCCCAAAAAGCCGCCCCGAGGGAGCCCAGAGAGGGCTCCAAGGATCCCCAGAAAGATCCGAATGAAGCCAAAACTAGCTTCAAGAAGCAGGTTTGGCCATCCACGGGAGCTGCCCAGGCCCCATGATAACTACCAATTCTCCTTTGTCCTCCCCCTGCCCCTGAGATCCGACGCTCCAAAAGAGTTAGAGCAGGCGGCCGTTTGCCGTTTTCGCCTTCCGGGGGCCTCGCCGGGCTTCGGGAGCGTCAAGAAACGATTCAGGACGAAAAACCGGCCCTAGAGAAGTGGTCCCGACCTCTGGGGCCCACGCATCGAAAAAATCAGAGCAGTTGGATGTCTGGGTCCCCAGCATCCCCCCGCGCGCACCAGGTGGTCGCCACCCATGCACGGGGCACCGTGCGGCTGGTCAAAGCCACCAGTGGAGGCACCCTTGCCGCTGGCGCCACACGCCCCAATAGCCTAGTTGTCCATGCATGCTTTCCTGTTCAAAGGTCGCGGGAGCCCTGGAAATGGGTGGGAAAACGGATGAATCGGGCTGTTACAAGAAGCGACCAGAGAGCGCCTGCAGACTCCCAGCACGGCCGGCACGCTGATTGGGTGAGTTTTTCCGCTTTGGTTCCCTAGTCACCAGCGTTTGGCCACTCGCGCCCAGTCTAAGAGACACAGTGAGTGCAAGAAGGCATCGTGGCGGCGACTTGGAACATTGAAAGTGCGACATGGAGCAGAGTCGCTGATCGAAATAATACAAGGACACGTTGTTGTATCAGGGTTGTTTCGCGCATCCTTCCGCGTGAACTCTCGGATCACAGGACGTATCGGCGTGTCGCCTCCATCCGCTGGTTTCCCGAATCGTGTGGCCCTGAACTGCGCATTCCGTAATCGCTCTCGAAAGCCTTTTTCCGCAGGGCCGCGCTGAGAGGGTAGCGCCCTCCGATCCAACAACTTGCGATTACGCTGTATTTGCTGAACATGTGCCTTCGAATGTACTGCTCTGGGCAGTGCTGTCCACTGCGGTGATGTTCAAGTGGCGCTGGTCCCTGGGAAGAGTTTTGTTGCATTTGCCGTTCTGGGTCAGGCAATTCTGAACCCCACCCAAACCGCCCTTGCCCAAACATGTGTGGTGGAGCGGCAGGGTCTTGCAAAGCTGATTCTTCCGAACAGTGCGTAAGGTGGAGCTCGCTATAGCACTCAAACATACTTGCACCTTTTGCGCCTGCAGGTGTGTCAGTAGCGTCGGAGAGGGCTGCAGCTCCTTGCCACCTGCCATCGCCAATGCCACTGACACCACCAGTGCCGCGCCTGCTTGTGCCAGTCACGCCCGCAGCAGGCAACAGGCTCCTCCCTGCACTGTGCTGCGTTCGCCGGGGCACGCGCGGGGCGCACCGCGGGCGCACCGCGAGGGACCCGCGGAACCTGCGCCACGGCAGGCCACCGCACGTGCAGGAGCCAGCACGTGCCCCGCGCGCTGCACGCGGGACCGCCCCGCCCCGCACGCCCCGCACCGGCCCGAGCGACGGTGGGCAAACGGCGGCCGCGCAGGGCACCACGGCGTGCAAAAGCACAGCACAGCTCGGCACGCGGGACGCCGCGCGCATGGCACGGCATGGCACGGCGCGCTGCGCAGGGGGCGCGATCGGCGTGGCAGCCGCGGCGCGGCTCGCATTGCACGCCATGCGCGGCACCACCCGCCTCTCGACAGGGGAGATGGTATCGCAGATACCGCTCTTGCTGAATCCGACAAGCGTTTTTAGTCTCGCACTGATCGCAGGTGCTGGTTTGGTGGGCGTCGTGGCGGGCGACCCATCGTGGACCGGTTCACAATTGCGTTCCTGTGTTACTTCTGCCACCGCATGGCCCCCCCCCCTGATCGCCGGTCGTGTCTCCCAGTTGTCCCGGCGGTTGTCCCCGCGGTTGTCCCGATGGTTGTGGTTGTCCCGATGGCTGTCCCGATGGTTGTCCCGATGGTTTTCCCGATGGTTCTGCCGATGGTTGTCCCGATGTTTGGTAGATAGATAGATAGATAGATAAATGTTGTTAGATGTTGTCCCGATGGTTGTTCCGATGACTGTCCTGGCGGTTGTCCCGATGGTTCTCCCGATGGTTGTCCCGATGGTTGTCCCGATGGTTGCCACGATGGTTGTCCCGATGGTTGTTCCGATGGTTGTCCCGATGGTTGTCCCGATGGTTGTCCCGTTGGTTGTCCCGATGACTGTCCTGGTGGTTGTCCCGATGGTTGTCTCGATGGTTGTGCCGATGGTTGTCCCGATGGTTGCCACGATGGTTGTCCCGATGGTTGTCCCGATGGATGGCTCGATGGCTGTCTCGATGGTTGTCTCGATGGTTTTCCCCATGGCTGATAGATAGATAGAGAGATATAGACATAGATGTAGACATATTCGTATGTATAGAGAGACTTTTATAACGGTATAAAGAGATAAGAGAGATGTATCATTACATTGATGTCTATATATATGTAGTGATGTATTCATATCGATATATTGATTGATTGATTGGCTTTTCTACTGATGAATCTATATATATAGAGCGATAGATTGCTGCCGTGAATAGATAACTAGACAGATAGGTAGATAGACAGATGGGCAGATGTGCGCGACAATACAAAAGTGGAAGAAACCACCAAAGAACTCAGAGTCATCGCGAATCGACCGCCTCCCCCTCCCCCCGCCAACCTCCTTATCGCCCGTAGGGTGATCCTATCGGTATCACGAGACAGTTTGTTTCCTTGGTGTCGCACGGGTGATTATCCAATGGATTTCAGGCGTGCGACCACCATTCTCAATGTTCTTGTGTGGGAGCGGTGATGTGATGCGTGCTCGCACGTCGGATATTGTAATCGTTTTTTTGAAGAGGAGCCAATTGATTGGGCTTGGTCCCGCATCTCGCCCGCATTCCTTGACAACTTGTGTTGGCGCTGGCTGCGTGCGGTTGTAGAAGATTTTTTCATGAAACGCATGGGGGCCCAAAAGGTGTTGGCGGATCCGTATTCCAAGGAACATCGCTAACTGCAAGCTGCCTCGTGTGGACCCGGGGGCGTAGCGAATAATGGGAGAAGAGTGCGCGGACACATGTTTCCAGGAGTTGGATGTAGAAGGACCTTCTTCGCTACTACTCGGGCTGTGAATGGCGAGCGCGCTCACTGAGCGTCCTGTGGCAGTGTCATTTCAGATGAAGGTTGCCCACGGGCGCTTGCAACATGCCACCGTGTACTGCAATTTCCATGTCGGGCGTCTTGCGAGCACAGGCTTTGCAGTCTCAGGTCTCGTGGGAGAGGATGACCGCAAGTTTTTGTAGACGCGGCATTCACGCAGGCAGGCGTTGCGCGATGGATAGCTAGGTCGGCTTCTGCCCGTAGACATGCTCACAGTGTTAATGTCCCTGCCTTCATTCTACCGCAGCTGTTGATGCAAGTGTAGGCCGATGCATCGGGTACGTCTTGTACGAGCTCCGGAAGAAGGCCCTGAAACCTCCCCCACCCTTGGCACCGCTCATCTCCGTCCATGCACTTTCCCACCTACTGTGCTCGCCCCTGGCTACCCCTTGTCCGCCTCCTCTCCGCTCTCAGCAGGGCTCGTGTGAAGCCTGGACATATGCAGTCAGACCTTGCGTCGCATTGCCGACGCCTCACTTCTTCGGGGAAGCAAACATATTCAACCCTGGGGCAGCACGATTGTATAGGTGCCGCGCCTTGGCCTAAGAGGCAGTTCCTTTTGCATGTGGTGTTACAGTCGCCCTGACACATAGACCCCATGCCACCCCAGAAGTGAGGGAAATACATGGCGAGTTGACTGTGTCTGAGTTGCCAAATGCGCCATTCGGAATTGAGCTGCAGTGGCGTTCATGCTCGCGAAAGGTTGCAGCCGTCTCCTGGAGCCGTCAAAGTCCGCCTCTCTTTCATCCTCCCTGCCAGACAACCGATGTATGTTTGTTACGACATGTGGCACGTTACCAGGGTCCTCGGATCGGAAGTCCACACCCCTTCCCAATAGATCACGCGTCATCCTGAGTTGTTTTCTGACAGCCCTGGGGCCCCGAGAGGGCCCCCAAACGTCCGAAACAGATGACTCGCCTCCGTTTTGACATCTTCAAGACGTTGGATGTTTGGGAAGCCTGCCTGATGGCGGAGGAGGAGGAGGAGGAGGAGCGAGGAGGAGGAGGAGGAGGAGGAGCAAGGAGGAGGAGGGGGAGGAGGAGGAGCGAGGAGGAGGAGGAGGAGGAGGAGAGCGAGGAGCGAGGAGGAGGAGGAGCGAGGACGAGGACGAGGAGGAGGAGCGAGGACGAGGAGGAGGAGGAAGAGCGAGGACGAGGAGGAGGAGGAAGAGGAGGAAGAACAGGAGAACGAGGAGCAGCGCGGAGGAGCCCGGAGGAACAAAGAGGGGCGATCTGTGGGGGAGCACGACAGCCCCGCCCTTCTCCTCGAGGCGGCGGATCTGAGCCCAGCCCTCCGACGCCGTGCTTCTCTTCTTCAGCGGGTGGCGGCAAGAGGCCCCCGCCCCCCCTTCCCCAGAGCCGGACAGACCGCCGCGGGGTCGCCTCACAACGAGCTGGGCCCGACCGAGATTTGGGCGGAACGCCCGCGGCGAACACGTTCCCAAAGACATGGTCCTCCTCCTCCTCCTCCTCCTCCTCCTCCTCCTCCTCCTCCTCCTCCTCCTCCTCCTCAAGGCGCAGGGCTTTTGCAGTTTCCAGCCTTCGGCGCCAATCGCCAGGGCGTTCAACAAAATTGCTCAGGATGGAGAGCTGGCCCATGGGGCACGAGGAAGGGGCCGGGGTCCTCACGAGTCACTCAGTCACGATGCATGTCTGAACCTTCCAAGAGGCTCTGGCGTCCCCCGCATGGTCCCGCCCAGGCCTGGACGACTGTCTGCAGAGGTGGTTCGTCCGATCTTTCGTTCGGGGTCCTTCGTGGAAGCCCTGTCTCGAACAAAACTCGGACATCGGATGTCTGTGTCACGACGTCGGATTATTACGAGTAGAAGGGCCCGAGGTTCGTCAGTGTTCGTTCTGGCGCAGGTGCTGCCCGTCAGGACGGACGTCCCCGGAGGTTTCCGCAGAGTTGCTCAGAGTTCCCCAGAGGTCCCGTGGAGGAGCACCCTGAGTTCCCCGGAGTCGTCCAGAGGCCTCCAGGAGCCCAAACAGAGCCAGACGTTTCAGAACCTTCCAAATACGTCGAATCATCTCCTCGAGCAACGAGGTCAACACTTATTAGCCCTCCCACGCGCATCACCAAGGGGGGGCAACTCGGGGCCTCGTGCGCCCCAGCAGTCGCGCCCACCTATCACTCGCTCGCTTCGCGCGCGCGCGGCAGGGTCCAGCGAGGAGCCGGCAGCACTTCTGCGAGCTCGTGAACATCGTGGTGCTCGGGGGGGCCCAGGCATCCTTCAAGCCAAGTCACGTGTACCCTGCACTGCGCTGTGCGTTGGAAACTCTGTTTTCAGTCATCTGCGCAAGGCGAGTCCGCCGCGGGGTCTGTTGCGCAATGCTGCTGGCCCCCTGCCAGTAGACCTGCACAGTCTTAAGTCTACTGGCGAGTCCAGGCTACCGCGCCGTGGCACTGCTCGGGGGACCCCGCTATTCCTCGTCGCCTTCCTCCTTCTCCTCCGCCTCCTCCTCCTCCTCCTCCTCCTCCTCCTTGGTTTGTCCAAGTGTTGGGCCAGCCTGGAGTCCCGCTGGGGCCCCGGCGACGCCAACGAAAATGACCACAGGAGGAAGCGCAGCTCCTTGGGAAAGGGGTCGGGAGCCGCGGGGGGGGCCACGCCACGAAGCACAGGTGGCGCCGGAGGAGAGGGTCGGACGGGGCTAGGGCGAGGATAAATCCGTTCCAGAGCGTTCCTCAGAGGAGGAAAATGTACCCATACCTCTACCCTTCCCCCGGTTTCCCCATATTTGGGCCTCTTCGGAGGCTTTCTCGTCGCCACCGCTGGATTCGCCTCGAAATTCTGGTCAGAACGCACCCCGGGAGAGGTTCGGGGAGTATCGGTACCCGCACCTTTTGGTTTCCCCAATTCAGGAACGCTCCCAGAGCGTGTTGGAACGCTCTGAGAAGGCCGCGGCACCCGAGGCATCTTTTAGAGCCGCTGGATCTCAGAGATTCTCGATCTATCCTTACCCGAATTCATCGCCGTCGTGGCTTCGTCTTAGAGGGGGGCACCCATCCCCGCGACCACGACGGGGGGTGGGCAGGACGACGCTGATGGAGGATGACGATCGAAAACTAACCTGGGGGGGTGGGGGGGGGCGTCACGCAGCAACGCCCTAGGCGACGATTGCTATGCTGGGTTCTGGGCCTGCTCATGTCTAGGCCTCCTAGATGGGGCCCGGGCAGATGTGGTCGGAGGATTGCGTGGATGCGCTCGATGTGTCGACGATTCATCGACGGCGGGGCTCGATGTGGAGACCGATTTTCCCCACGCCGACGTCGCGGATGCGTCGCCGACGTCGCCGATGTATTGGCGATGCGGCGAGATCCTTCGACCCCATCTATTCGGACCCCATCTAGGAGGGCTCTATCATGGGCCTCGTCGTCGTTCGCATTGGGATTACTTGGTCGACCTCTCCAGAGTCTGGCCCAGCGGCAGAAGACTTTCCTTTCCCTTGTCGCCCCTCCGCACCTCTCTCCTGATCGGCATCCTGCACTACCCGGGGCATTCGCTGGGCTGCGGCCTCCTGGGGGAAGCCATCCTCCTGGTTACGGCTGGACGCGGCTCCGGGGTTGGGAGAAGTCTGGAGGCCCGAGCCGCCAGATGCCCAGGTCGTCCCAGGGTCTGGCATCGTCGCCGAACGCCCCGTCTGGCGGCTCGATCTTATCCAGTCCGGGCGCGTTTCGCGCACTTAAGTCTCGGCCTCCTCGAGCTCGTGGGGGCCGCTCTCGGGGTCCGGAGCCCGTGTGGTGCCCCAGGCCAGGTCTTGAGCGTCTTTCGTCCGGGGGGACGGCAGAGGGGGCCCAAGAGGGAAAGGCGGCGTACCTCCTCCGCGGCCTAGTGACCGTGGTCGCAGCCTCTTGGGCCCCTTTTTACAGGACCGGTACAGTAGGACGCAGTCTTGCAACTCTCTCGATGCTCGAGGATCGATGGTCGGGGTTCGTTTTTTGTCCTCCCTGAGTGGTGGGTGGTTATTGATTTTTTTTTTTTGTTTATCCTCCTGGGGAGGGGTCGAAGGGGGGGGGGAGGGGAGCGGGGGGGGTGTTTATCCACCGCAACGAGGATCATGGGTAGCTGGCGGTGGCGTCATTGGGGGGCCCCAGACGGTGTGGTGACCACACCGTGAGTTGAGTCAGTAGGGATTCGGTGTCACCGCACGGTTTTGGGATTCGGGTCCTTCTCCGAGGATATCTGGGGTAATTTGGGCCTCGAGGATCCCAAAACCGTGCGGTGACGGACCGCGCGGTGAGGTCTCTTGGGGGTTCGATGTCACCGCGCGGTCTGTCACCAGTCAGTTTTGGGACCCCGAAGTAACGCTTTGCGCCCGCGGGGTCTGCGCGTACGGTCAGGAATGGCTACGATTGTAAGGATTCCAAAGGAGAAATTTACGTCACCAGCGGGGGGGACCCAGTGACCGCCAGCACGTACGCAGAACAGTAAAACAAACTGCGGCCCAGTGGGTGTTAGTATGGCCAGGGCTCCTCCGGAGTGTATTAATTAATGCATGCGGTTAAGGGGGGGGGCTCTAAAGAGGCTCCCCCCCTCTCACCGAAGAGCCTCTCGGAAGAGCCTCTTGGGCCACGCGACGCAATGCAGTGCAAGCATGAATTGGGCAACTCCATGCTATACGTTACTGTGCGCCACATGGAAGGTGCCGAAACAGCGGCCGACACGCGGAACTGTCAAACAGAATTGTCTAACAGATTGTCGGCTCGCCTCTTGTACGTTCACACGATGCGGTCCAGGTCAGAAGGTCGGCAGACAAATAACTACCGCCAGCGCGGCAGTGCGGGGCGCCGCGGCTCTTATTCGGACACCGGGGCGGGCCGACAAAGAAACGCGGGCCAGGCAAGGGGCAAAAACGGGCAGCGAGGAGCCGAGGAGGGAGAAGGGGAGGGGGAGGGGGAGAGAGGACGACAAGGAAGGACAGACCGGGCCGACAGACGGACGGACGGGGGGACGGGGAGGGGAAGCTGAGCAGGCTGGGAGAGGGAGAGCACACCACGCACAAGGGCAAGGAAGGACAAGGGGAAAGGTTCTCTCTTGACGCCGCCACGTGGCCGAACGCCAGATACCAGCAGGCATTATGTGAGTGGTGGCTGTGCCACGTGATGTATACCATTCGGCACATCCCAATGTGTCTTGGGACCCCCCAGGGGGCATAACGTAACAAGTGTAATGATGCCCACCACGTGTGTGAATTCATTTTTCTTTCAGTTCCATACGTCACGTGACTTTTTAACTCAATGTGTATCGGAGCGCCCAAAGCACCCGACGACGACGGGCCGCCCTCTGCAAAGGGCACCTCGTCGAGTGACCGCTGAAGAGGAAGCGGGGGGGGAGGGGTGAGTGAAACGAGGGCGGACGTGTTGGAGGAGGAGGAGGAGGAGGAGGAAGAGGAGGAAGAGGAGGAGGAGGCGGAGGACGGGGGAGGGAGGAGGTAGGTGCACGAGAAGGAGGAGGAGGAGGAGGAGGAAGAGGAAGAGGAGGGGGAGGAGGACAATGAGTATGTGTAGGGTGGAGTAGGCTTCTTTGGGTTCGACGGCTCTGCTGTGGAAAGCGTGACGTTCCCACACCCAAAATCCCTGGACGTCCTGGGGTCTCAGGGTTGGGTTCCTTGTGGAAGGTTCCTTGTGGTCGAGCTCCTACTGTACCTGCTGGCGGGCGGGATCTGGACCTGGAAGCAGTCGTCGTCGTCGTCGTCGTCGTCGTCGTCGTCGTCGTCGTCGTCGTCGCCGCCGAGCGGACGGCACCCGGCGAGCTAGCGGGCCAGGCAGAACCAGGCGGGCGAGCGGGCGGTCGGGCAAACGAGGACGGGCGAGCGGGCGGCGCGGCGAACCCTCACGGGGTTGGCAGCCAGACGGGGAGGTCGGCGACGCTGGCGAACGACGTCGACGTCGACGTCGACGAAGACGCCGACGTTGGTGAAGGACGACGACGACGCCCCTCCGCAGGTGCGCCCCGAGCAGCGCGGATGCGGCGCCGGGCGGCGGCTCTTCGAGGCGCTGGAGCGGGACCTCGAGACGACCGCCAGCAGAGAGGCCTTCTTGTCGGGGGGGGCGGGGGCGGGAGGAGTCAGAGCTCACGGCCAGGAGCTCGAGCAGGAAGCACTGCAGAGGCATAGACTCTCGAAGGTCTGTGCAGATTTTTCTTGGATCGGCGCTGGGGGCCCCCCGGCGGCGCCTCCGACGCCGCCCCAGGCGCGCTAGCGCTGCAAGAGAGGTGGGTCCAGCGGCCAGCGCGGATCTAAGAACTCCGCGCGGACCCTGGAGGCCTCGCCTTGCCACCGATGTCTGCGCACCTCCTCTTGTCGGACTTCTTCCGGTCCTCAAAGGGCCAAGAGGTCATGATAACCATATCACTTGGGATGTCCAATATTGTCCAGATCCCCTCTGGATCCACACGGGCTCACGAAACGAGTGCCACCATATATTCCAGAATTCATGAGGCGCATCCTGAGCCAATCGCATCATGCCATCGATCTCGTCCTGCCTTCCTCATCTTATTCCTCCCCCCCATTCTCCGTCGCTGCCCGTCGGTGCTCGCACCCTGCAGGCTCGCGACATGCGCCTCTACGTCGCGGAGCGGAACGGGGGCCCGAGGGAGTGGTACCGGCGCATGGGCTTCGAAGATGCAGGCTGTTCCCAAGCCTCTTCTCCTCGCCGGGGCACCGTGACGTGGATCATTTTGTGGTCCTCTCCAGTGACTTGGGCGTTGCCGGGGTGGGGTGGGCGTGATGGGTCTGGTGACATCAGCGGTTTGCGCCTGCTGATGCTGGGAATGGTCCGGAAGAGCTACGACTGGTCGGATATCCAGATCACGCCAGCGTCAGAACGTTACGTCGCCGGGGGGTTGGGGGGGCCAGTGACGGCCGTTGCGCCGAACAGTGTAAGAAGGCTCTCCTCGGACGCATGTGTCTTCCATGGGGAGAGGGGCGACTGGAGGCTGGCACGGAGGACGCAGGTTTGCCGCGAGGGTCTCGGAGGCGCCAGTCTTGCCCCGGGGAGATGCGAGACCACGGGCACCCCGCCCTGGAGGGGGGTCCTCCGGGCGCACCTCGGGACGCCCATGGGGGGCATCAGGGGCAACGACCAGGGAGCGGCTCCGGGGAGCGGGCATCGACCCCCTTCGCCCATGCATCGCGAGGAGGGGCCTGGGTGCTCCGCCCGCTCAGCGGAACGTGCGGGGTCGCCATCGAGGTCCCAGTGTTTTCCTCCTCGAGCCTGTCCTCTATCTCGCAAAAAAAAAACATAAACACAAACTGTTGGCGCTCTGCGCGGATTTCTTGGATCCGCGCTGGGCCCCCCTGGCAGCGCCTCCGGGGCCGCCCCTGGCGCGCTCCGCCCGCTGGGGAGGGGGGTCCAGCGCAGATCCAAGACATCCGCGCGGAACGCCACAAGTTGATGCTTGTGCCGTTTCTTCTTCTCCTGCTATCGTTGCCCATCAGGGCAAGGTCTTGGCGAGTACTGTGTGGCCAGGGCCTGGGTCCCTTCAAAACGCCTCACTGGGGGGTCCGTCACCTTGGTGCGGGCTTCCAAGCTGGCTGCCCGGCTGCCCTCCCTGGACCTCCCTGTGGAGGCTTTTGGAGGCCGGAGGCCCGAAGTGACCACAGCGGCCGCAATGCGCCAGGCTGGCAGACCGAGCAGGTCGGGGGCGAGCAGGTGCGCTTCCTGCGGATGGTGCGGCGCCGGCAGTGAGACGCGGCTGCTCTCGATCATCTTCAGGGCGTGGGTTGGCCTTGCTGACTTCCCCGAGATCCAGCGCATTGAACAAATCAAGGCGGAGGTGTTTCTCAATTTTCGGCCTCTGGAGGCCCTCGGCAGGCCTTGGGACCGCGAAACATAAGTCAGTATGAAAAGGCGGTCCTGGGGATTGGGTCGAGACTTCGAGGACCCCGAATTGAAAAAACACGACATCGGATCTCTGGGGTTGGCCTCGCTATCTTCGAAGCCTCCCAGATGGGGTCCAAGTGGATGGGGTCGAAGGATCGCGTCGCATCGCCGTTGCATCGCCGATGCGGCTCGATAGGGGATCTCGGTTTCCTTCACCACGACGGCGCTGACGCATCGCCGACGTTGGCCGTGCATCGCCAATGCATAGGCGATGCATCGGCGATCGATGCAGCGCGATCTTCCGACCCCACCTACTCGGACCCCATCTAGGAGGCCCCTACATCTTCGCCCAGTGCTTGTGTTGTCCAGTTCACCCACCAATAGCACGCAGCCTGTGTTGGCCCTCATCGCACCTTCCGCATCGTATGGAAGGGCGTCGGCGCACAAGCACACGTTGGCGCTAAAACGCGTTCTGAGGATAGTGGATCTTCTCTGCGGCCGCTGCCTGCGGCGGCCTGCATGTATCATCCTCGCTGCCTACCCACTGCGTTATTCCAGTGGCCGCTTGGCATGTTATGCACCTCCCGGGGTTGCTGGCGGCTTCGCATGCGCGTTCGCTCCCATAGCGAATTGTTTTCCGACGAATCAATGTTGGCCGACCCCGCGCGCTTTTTTTGCGTCGTGGGCGCGCGTCCGAACGGCAGAGTCTATGTGTTTTCCATACTGCCATTTACTGCCACACTTCGATGATGGCAGTTTAACAGTGGTTATTCGTGGGGAGGGTTCTTCAAGGGCCAGGACTCGGCGCGCAGCATCAGAGGCTACGCGAGCTGCTGATTCTGCGGAGGGATATGAGACTCTCTTGGGGGGTGTGGACCTCTGCGCTCACGGGAATGGAAGGGAAGGACGTGCAGAAGCCAGGCTCTACGAGTCCCTGCAGCACAACTGCAGAAGTGATCGTGTAAGTTCGCCAACTTGGTAAAAACCGTGCTCCCAGGCGCCTGGGCGGTCGGTGTCTAGGCCGTGGAGCAAGAGAGTCGCATTCAAATAGTCGTACAGTTCCACGGTCTCGAGCATGTGAATTTCCGATGGTGGTTGTCTTCGTCATTCCCCATTCACCCTCTCCGAATCCCGCCGCGCTTCTGCCGCTGGGGAGAAACTTCTGGCCGCTCGTAGCCATGACGTAGCCCAGGGATCGAAATGAGGCTGTGCCGAGTTGGTCCAGCTGTGTGCGGCGAGGGACGCCAGGTCGCCAACCCGCACAGGTCACAATGACCCGTCCGCAGGGCTCATAGGTGGAGCGGGGAAGTTTGATGAATCCAATGCTGCGCCTGCCTACGTAGCCGATTCCCTAGGGAACAGAGGAGTGGACTGACGCAGAGGATGACGCGGGGGTTGAAGGGCCGCAGTGTGAGACAGGCGACATCTGCGGCGTTCTCTGCACCTCTGCTAGCACGCGCTCCGCAGAGACGACTTGCGCGGATTCCGGCAACGGGCCAGCGCTGCTTGCGTTCTCGGGGCTCCTGTGGGGGCCAGATGGTCGAGCCCATGAGGCCTCCGTTCCAGCAGGCGTTGGCCGCCCGCCAGCTTGTACAGTGTTGCAGATTCTCCACCGGCAGGGCGGTATGCCACGTCCACCACATGCCGACAGACAGGCACGGTGGGTAAGCGGCGCGCCGTAATGACAGACAGGCGCGAAGCGTTTTTGTCTCAGCAAGCGAATGCCCCTCACGTCTCGTATAGGGCCGACTCATTTTTCCAAGGGCACATGCATCGTCCACCGCTCGCCGACTCACAGGCGCCACGGGTAAGCGGCGCACTGTAAAACAAGGAACGCACATCTCACATGATGCGCTCGCCGCGAGCTTGTACAGTTTAGTGGCGTTTCAAGACTGTGTCTGTGTATCTCGTGCACTGCAAGCTGTCACACGCGCAGGGAAGCAGCGGTGCACATCGCATTGCAGTGGCTACAGCTCAGATCTGGTGAATCTTAATTAGGGGCTTGTTAAGGGGAGCGCGCGCGTCAGTCGTGCTCGCGCGCTCCAAGTCTCTGTCCAAGGCGTCTGGCTCGTGCCACAGACTGCCCACATTCCACATATCTTCGTGCAGTGAAGGGTAGCAAGCGAGCCAGCGACATGCTGGCATACGGCCCACTGTTTCCGCAGTGGGCGCGAGTGCAGCGCCCACCACAAGCCATGGGAGGCGGTGGGTAAGCGGCGCGATCACGGTGCAGCGCGCAGAACAAAAACGGTTTCCCCATCTACCATATCGGCTTTTAGTGCTTCTGATCTCTTGCCCGCCACCCCTCACGTCGTGCAATTCACGCATGTTGCAGAGGACGTGGTTTGTAATGCAGACACATCTGGCGTCCGACCTTCAGCTTTGCTACAAGAAACGGAAGCCTCAACGTGAAGCCTTTTCAGATGTGCCGCCTAGCCCTTTACATGCCACGTAATGCCGACGTGCTCTAGCCAGCAAGGTGCGGCAGCTGATAGAAACATAATCGCGCCTTGTTTCATATAGTACTCCTATTCTAGGGCGTTGTCCCATGGATCCCCAATCTCTAGGGGTCTTGGCGGATATTGAAAGACTTCGCGAAAGTTCGCCGCCGATTTCGGTAGGGTGCCAGGTTCCTGGATTCCTGGTTCTGGGTTCCGGGTTCTCGTTTCCGAGTTCCGGATTGGTCTTGGGGAAAGTTCGACGCCGATTTCGATAGGCGGCCGGGTTCCCAGGTTCCTGGCTCTGGGTCCGGGTTCCCGTTTCCGGGTTCCGGTCTCGGTGGGCGGTTGGGTTTCCGATTTTGGGTTCAGGGTTCCTGTTTTCGGGGTTCCGTTTGGAGGTTCCGGATTGGTCTCGGTGGGCGATTTTTTGGTGCCAGGGTTCGTCAATGCTCCTGGGTGTGAAACATGTCAATGTGCATGGCCTCGCGGTGAAGACTCCTTGGCAGCGGCCCTGATATGCATCTAGTTGAATACAGGGCGGCCCTACGCGATTGACCCGTCCCGAGCGTATGTACGGGGCCGCGTGATTCCACGGGATCGTGTCTCGGTGTCCAGACCGCGAAGGCATAGACATCCGCAAACAAAATTCATCCACTTCAGCACCTCGGTGGCATCCGCTTAAAATCAATCCCTGGACCCCTTCCATGGTTCACCTGGGCCAGGTCCCAAATCGATTTCAGATTGGATCCCAGACGCCGAAGACGACAAGCAACCTAGATCCTCGGATCTTCGAAGATCGCGAAGGCCGGGTATGGATACAGTGACGACGCTGAACCATTTAGGAGCAGTGCGCATTCGGAATGGATCTCGTTGTTCCTGAGGTCCGTAGCCGTTCCTCTGGCGCTCCGCCTGCCCCCTATACGCTTTGGGGGGGAGACAAAATCGAGGCCTCGCTACTCCTTTAGCGCCCCTTGCGGTAGCTCCCTCACTGTATGTTGTACAGTCGACCCGCACAGCAAGGATGAGCGACTTTCCCAAGGGTACCCTTGCATCCTTGCCTCCTCAGCCCATCCTTGGCCACTTTCGTTGACCGCGCCCCGCTCGAAGAGCTTCCCCACGGGCGTCCAAGGCCCCTGCCTCCTCTGATCGCGCATCCTCATGCTACGGGCCGGCTGCACTCGTGGAGCGTTCCTGGTGGTAGCTCCCTGACTGTCTGCTGTGCGCCCGTCGCTCCTGCAGCGCCCCCCGCCCGAGAGCCGCTCTGCTTCGGCCATGGCCCGGCATGCGCCCGCTGGCGGGCGCCCCGTGGAGCGCGCTCGCCTGCGCCGCGGCGGCTGCAGCGGCGGCGGCCGCAGCGCGGCCGCAGCGGGCGGCGCTCCCGCGGCACCTGGACGAGTGGCGCTTCGCGGGACAGCGCCGCGGCCCTGCCCGCTGCTCTCTCGCCACCGTTTTCGGACGAGGTGCCCGTACCGCAACCCTTCCCTCGCTTTCCCCTTTGTTGGACCTCCTGGGAGGCCCTCGCCGCCACCGCTGGAGTCGCCTTAAGATCCTGGTCAGAACGCACCCCAGGAGAGGTCCGGGGAGTAGCGGTCTCCCCACATTTGTTACATTGCATCTTCGGGGGACCTCGTCGGCCCTAAGATTGGTGTCTTTGCTTCAGCCCAGCGCAGGCTCGACGCGGACTCGATGTGGATTTGACGCGGATTCGGCCCGGAGTCGGCGCGGATCCGACGCGGACGTGACGCGCTCGGCACGCATTCGGCACGGATTCGACGCGGATGCGGGCGCGACGGGGCAGACGAGGTCCCCCGAAGATGCAACGTAACATTTGCGAGCTCTGGTCCTGCGGTTGCAGTCGCGGGCAGTCCAGCTGAGCCTCAGCACGGGTTGCCGACGTCCTTCAGGTTCTGGGCCCCGGCCGCTGTTTCAGAAGTCTGGCCTGCAGGGGTCAGGCTTACATGCGATCGCCTGCGACCGAAGACTTGACATCGCTCGGACATGTGCGTTGTTTCTTCGGCGAGGACCATCGAGGGGCATCCTGGATCATCGCGCGAGTAAAAACCCACGAGGCCAGAACACGCACTTGGAAGGGACGTCCGTGCGATGGCGAGAAGAAGCTGCGCAGACACTGCGCAGACATGTGAGCCTTCGGAAGCCCACGCGGATGCTTTGCGATCCGCTTTGGGCCCCCCACAGGGCGGCGCGGGGGCGTCGCCCCTCCAGCGCCGATCCCAGAACGTCGCGCGGGCCTCCGGAATATCACGCTCGTGCTGATCTCTTCTCTTCCAGAGGGGCTTCCGGCCCTCCTCGGCCTCCTCTTTTCCCCAGGCGTCCTGCGTCCTGACCGAGTCCAGAGGCAGGGGCGGCTCGTCGCTTTCGGCCACCACTGGCCTTCGCGGGGCCCAGGGGCCGGCAACAAAACGGCTCAGGGCGGACAGCCAGCCCAAGGGAGGAAATGGGCGAGGCTTGCAGGGGCCCGCATGGAGCACAAACAAGACAGCGGCTGTCGGGGTCAGTCTCATCCAGAAGATCGCAGAACATACCGTGGGGGTGTTCGTTAAGGAATGTGCCCAGGGGCTTCAAGCCCTGCAGGCTTCCTTATCTAGTGCGGGCGGCAGTCATATGAGCGTGTTTTTTTATAATCCTCTGGGCCATAACGCGCGTTATGCCTTGCCCCATAACGTAACGCTCCCCCACCCCCCTCCCGTAGTGCCCCTCTGGCACTGCCATTCTGATGCTCGCAGGCTATTGTGGTGCTTGCAGGCTGCTTGGACCTTCACTGCCCGTTACCCGTGCTCGCAGACGTGGTGTTGCTCTTGCAGGCTATTGTCGCACACGAGGTGTCCAGCAGTTTGTGCGCGCGCCCTCCGGGTTCATTCGGTACTCTGATGCTGGCAGGGCCGCGAAAGTTGTGGTAGTGGCATTGGTCGCAGAAGTATTGGCAACAGTCGCAGCAATAAAAGAGAGAACAGGAGGAGGAAGAGGAAGAGAAGGAGTTGGATAGGGGGAACGGGGTGTCCTCGTAATCGTCGTCGTGGTTGTCTTGTTGCTGTGGTGATGGTTTTTGTGTTTGTCGTGATTGTTGTTGTTGTTGTTGTTGTTGTTGAACATTATTAATTCTAAAGAATAATTATTGTTGGGCCCCCTGGTGCGCGCCCCCCCCGCCGCGCCTAGGCCGCAGCCACGTTTTCATCATTTTCGTGAGGAAGCCTCAGGTAATTCGAGTTGATCAAGATCCGGTTGTTTTGTTGTAATCCGTTTTCCCTTGCAAAAAACACTATAAAATGACATTTCTTGTTCTAATATAATCAAATTTCAAGAATCCCTTGCAAAAAATAAGGTAAAGTGGACATTCGCGCGCGCAAGACGAAATCCTTCCAAAAGCTTAGTGTTCGGAGCGATTTTAACATAAAAACATCAAAAAACCAATGGTTTTTCAACAAAAAAATGTCAAAATCTCATCCCGCGCGCTCTTGCGGATTCGTAGGAAACCCAACACTTTTTAAACATTTCTGTCAAACGGGCTTTTGCGAGCAACTTTTTCGAACTTCTGCGACAACGGTTGCGCACCTGCCAGGGCCATCATCCCTGTCAAATAATACCATGCGGGACACATTCGTTTTTTCTTCGCGCGCGCACGCCGAAATCTCCAAAAACCATTGGGCTTCTTAAGAATTTTAGCACGCATGCATATGCATCATATGCAACAGATGTTCTGTGGAAGGCTTAACAACTTCTGTGGGTTAACAAGGCTTAACAACTTCTGTGGGTGTACGAACGTAGGCTTCACAACTTCTGTGGGTGTGTACCCCACGCCAGTGTAGTAGCCACGGTCGTCCGCACGCCACGAAGTGAAGTGTCCCAACGTCATAGGGCGGGAAGCTGGGTTTGGGTGGTCGCGAAGAGTCGTTTGGATATTTGGTAGAGCTTGTAATGCCCCCCCACGAAGTGGGGGTATTGCCTGGTGTCGTATGAAAACCCTGGCACTGGGGAGAACACCACGCGTTCGGGTAAAATGATTGTTGTTGTTGTTGTTGTTGTTGTTGATGTTGTTGTTGTCGTTGTCGTCGTCGTCGTCGAAATCGACGTGGTCGTCGTCTTCTTTTTGGTCGTAGCGATAGTCGTCGTCGGCGTGTGGTCGTCGTTGTGACCATCGTCGTGACAGTGGCAGTCGTCGAAGTATTCGTAGTCGTCGCGATCGTCGTCATAGTCGTCGTGATCGTCGTCGCGGTCGTCATCGTGGCTGTCGTCGTGTAGTCGTCGGGATCGGAGTCGCAGTAGTCGTCTTGGTTGTCGTTGGTTCCTGCGTGTGGTCGCCGCTGTCGTCGCGATCGTCACCAAGATCGTTGTAGTAGCTATGGTCGTCGTGGTCGAAGTTGTAGGTCGTGGGTGGCTGCATTCTGAAAGCATGCTGTACGCATGTCCCTCAAGCTCTTGAGACTGAAGATTTTCTGAGAGCCGAAGAAAAATTACAGAAGCATCACTTCTCGGAGCTCCTTGGGATTTCTGGGATCGGTGCCGGGTTCTCCGGGCGGCGCCAGAGGCGCCGCCCCCGGCGCACCGTCGGCGTCGTCGTCGTCCTTCCAGTTGTTCTCGGGGCAGTTTTGGAGGCCCTCGTCGCCGCGGCCGCGCGCAGCTCGAACATCTGGCTACGGTTGGCCCCGAGGCTCTGGTCAAACGGATTTTGGGACTGGATACCTGTCGGAGGATCGAGGTTCCAGATTCGAGGTTCGCAGCGTGGCTAGCAGGGCGTCATCTGAGAGGCTTGCGCCATTCCACCGTGTGGTCGTCGCAAGTGCAGCTAATTGCTCACAGGCGCACCGCGGTGGTCGCAAGCTACTGGGGGGCCGACAGAACGGCAATCGTGTTCTCGCAGTTGTTCGCCCGTATCGTGCGTGCTGGCAGGCACCATTGTTGCCCGCCTTCTCCTTCGGGCCAAGGGGCGCCCAGACTCTGCGCAGAATCCATTACTACAACAGAAGTGTAATCAACGTGGGGGTTGTGGTGTCCGCAAGCGTTGTGGTGCACCCGCGCGTTGCAGTGTGCGCAGGCGCTGCGGTGAACGCGGCTGCAGTGGTGCACGCAGGCGCTGTGGTGCACGCAAGGACTGTGGTGCACGCGTGCAGCACGTATCGGAAACAGGCAGCGCGTATAGATTTGGGACAATGTTTGCGTGATGCTTCGGTTCTGGAGGCGGTAGAAGCAGAGTACGTTAGCAACATGTATTGTGTAACGTAGATGCAACACAGCGATAGCAAACAGCAACACAAAATAATGGTCGAAGGAGAGTGTGGAGGAAACAAACGCTGCTGTGCTGCACGATGGTGCACGTATGCACTGCGCAGTACAATGACAATATGGTGCACGTGGCTGCGGTGCGGCGGTGCATACTGTGCTGCGCACTGTGGTGCTTCCTGTGATGCGCACAGGCGGTTTGGTGCCAGAGCCACGCGGCTTGCGGGGGGGGGGCGTTACGTGATGCCCCCCGCCGCGCCGCCCCCCCCCCCACACACACATATACACATACACACATACACGCACATACATACACACACGTAACGCGCGTGATGGCCTGGTCGCGAATATTCAAAAAATCTGTATCCATGGCCCGTCCACGATTGGAGTTACACCGGCTTCCAGACCCTGGGTTTTTTATCCAACGGTTCCTTAACCAATGCCCTCACTGCGTCCTCGCGAGGACGCCATCCGCGTCCTCGCGGTCTAGATACCCGAGGCGCGATCCCAAGGATACGCGATCGCATGGATGCACTTCGCGCGGGTTGTCCGCGCAAAGCCGTCCCGTATTCGCCTGGTTGCGGCCGGGGAGTCCAGGCGACGAGGCCAGGGATGGGGTATGTTTCTCGTCCGCGACCTTGTCCTAGCATTCTGTCGAAAAAAGGAAGGAATGAGGGTTAGGAGGAGGGGGGCGAGTGCGTCGGGCGGCTTGGAAGGCTCCAGGGGGTTCCAGGTTGCTCATGGGGGCTCCGGGGAGCCCAGGGTCTAGAGGCGCAAGAGGGATTTTGCGAATCGCACTTTCTTACATGTGTTGCAGCTATGGAGAAAAACTCGCCAGGATTTATGTGCACGCCGCGGGTGCGCGTTGTACGCTGCCTGAAGCTGTTCCTCGAACGCCCGTGGGCGCCTTCGTGCAGTCCACCCGGGGTGGTTTGTGCACCGTAGCCTACGGGCGCTCATTGTCTACTCTGGGGCGTCCCGGTCTTGTTTCTTGCATCCTGCAGGGACCCAGTGTATAAAAAACACCTCGACATGCTGCGCCATGAGCCCCTCGTGGTGGTTTGTTGCAAAGCACTTCCAGCTAACTGGGCGTCCGATTTCGCCACGATCTGGTGTAATGACCGCCGCCTGGGGTGTACGAAGCACCCCTGGTGGCGTTCATTGCCATTTTCTCCCTTCTCCTGCTTCCCCCTTTTCCCTCCTCCTCCTCCTCCTCCTCCTCCTCCTCCTCCTCCTCTTCCTTTTTGACGTTGATCGGACCTGAAGAGCAAGCTTGAGGCGTTCTCCTCCTCCTCTGCCTCCTCCTCCTCCTCCTCCCCCTCCTCCTCCTCCTCCTCCTCCTGCTCCTCCTCGGTCCTTCCACTCATCCTGCTAGCTGGAGCACCTGCCCGAGATGGCAGTCGACCCCCTCCTGGGGGCCCAGCTTCTCCTTGTTTTGCGGCCGTTCTCTGGCTGCGTTTTGTCCCCATGTACGCCGACGGCCGAAGGCCAGCCGCTGCGGTTTCTCTTCGAGCCGCCGGGTGGCCCGGCGGCTCCGGGCCTCAAAGTCGACCCTTGGGCAACGCATGGGGTGCGCTCTGGTCTCAGCGTCGGGATCCCGCAAAGCCAGACCCCCTCGAGCAATGAAAAAATCACGACGGGAGGTTTTTTCGCAATTTTCAGACTCTGTGGGCCCTTACCTGGCCACGGACCCGTCAAAAAACGACTCGGAATGAAAAACTGGTCCTGTGGCATGGGTCGAGACCCCTGGGAGTCGACGTCATGGAAAAGTCATGACGTCGGGGGTCTGGGAAGGGCGGGGGCCCTGGGGTGGGTGTGAGTTCGATCGGTTTTTGTACCGAGCCGCCCAGAAACAGGTGCCTCCCAGCCACCGGCAGATCCCGATAGTACAGGGGGGGGCAATGCGGGGGGGCATTTGTCTGCGGCAGTTCGGTGCACCAGCGAATCGAACTCGTGCCCCCCCTCAGGGTCACCCCCCTTTTGGGTGGATCCCGACATCAAGGGAGAAAAAAACACCCGGACCGGACAATTGGTGTTCATTAAACGGCCCTGGGCGTTAACTCAACAGCCCTGCCCTCTTTGGATCCTTCTTGGGTGCGTTTACTAAACGGCTTCGCGTGTCGGGGTGGTTATTATCGGGGTGGATTTTCTGCCCTCTACGACATTGTCGGGGTGCATCCGGCGCCGCGGCGACTGGAGATTGCCAGGAGGCCCAGGTGAGGCGAAGAACGCCCGGAAACCTTGGTCCCCGACCATTGATGGGTCAGACCGTGGCGCGAGACACCCTCGATCCTCGAGCCTCGATCCTCGATGCTCGAGCCTCCTGCCTCGATCCTCGATCCTCGATGCTCGATCCTCGATCCCCGCGAACATCCTGCCTCGATCCTCGAGCCTCACGCCCCGCTGCCTGGGGATCCTCGCAGGGCGCCGCGGCGGGGACGAGGCAGCGTGCCATCGTCGGCCGTCGGTGTCGTCGTCTTTGCCGTCGCCGCCGCCGCCGACGCCGATGCCGACGCCGCCCCCTCTGGACGCCGACGCAGAGGCATCTCGGCAAGGTCGCTTCCGAGCCCTCTCCAGGGTGTGGCTCCCTTGCTCAGAGGAAGCTGCGTCCGACGCTTCCACCGCCAGCTGAGTAGGGAGCACACCGCTCCAATCCATTCCTGGCCTCCGACGCCGCAGCTTCCGGTCGTAGCGTCGCTCCTTTGGGGATGCCGACCTCCTCCCTGGGGTAACGCGTGACATCCCGAGCCGTCTTGTGGACGGCCCCGGGGCCGGGCACTGGCTCCCAAACGCTATTGGCCTCCTAAGTGGGGCCCGAGTGGGCAGGGTCGGAGGATCCCGCCACACCGCCGATGCATCGGCGATGCCGCTCGAGCTGGTCGGGGGACGATGTATGGCCACCGCCCCCGCGCGCGTATCTTGTGCCAGATCAGCTGGTTTGCCCGAGTGGTGTACAAACGCCGTGTCACCCAATTTTGTACGAAACCCCCTCTCCGCGGTCTTGTGCCGGACAAGCTTGTTTGCGGGGATGGTATACACAAGACGTTTTCCCATGCGGAGCCCGATTTTCTCCATGCCGACGGTGCCGATGCATTGCCGACGTCGCCGACGCGTCGCGCATGCACCGGCGGTGCATCGGCGATGTGCCGCGATCCCCCGACCCACATCTCGGAGGCCTCCGCAGGTGCTCCCGTCGTGTCATCCTCGTTCTTCCTGCGCCGCTCGGATCCCGGAGATCCGACGTCTCGAACAGATCGAGACACCGTGAGAAATCGTGACTGAAGCCCTGGACCCTATCTGTGTGCGCCACTTTTCGAGCCACGAGCCAGATCGCTCCTGTGAGGGCTCGAAACAATCGAGAGTCGCCAGAACCTCAGGGGACCTGGCCCCGCCTCCGCAGGGCGCCCATCGCCCGGAGCCGACGGCGCCGCCGAGGGGGCGGCCGCGGCGTCGCCGCCCGCGGAGCGCAACGAGACGTACCGGGACGCCATCGGCTGCTGCGTGCCGGGGCAGGCGGGGGGGGCGGAGAGGGGCGCCCCCCCCTCGTTGTTGCGCCTCGCGGCGCGATCGGGGGGGGGCACTCCGGGCCGTTTCATACGGCGGGGGGCCCTGAGATCGGACGCTCAAGAGAAATTGGAGCAGCGGGTTTTTGGCAGTGTTCGGCCTCTGGGGGCCCGCGCCGCGCTTCGGGAGCGTCAAAAAACGACTCAGGACAAGAAACCGGCCCTGGAGAAGTGGTCCAGACCTCTGGGGCCCACGCATCGAAAGCAGCTGGATGTCTGCGGAGCGTTCTATGAGGAGTGTGCCCGGGAGGCCTAGGGCGGCGGTGATATCCATGGCCATCCGACGATTGGAGTTCCATCGGCTTCCTGGCCCTGGATTCCTTATCTGATGGGCCGATTTTCCACCACCGCTACTATAGGCAGTAGAGGGAGGAGGAGGAGGAGGAGGAGGAGGAGGAGGAGGAGGAGGAGGAGGAGGAGGAGGAGGAGGAGGACCTCCCCCTCCTCCCTTCCCCCCCGTCCTACCTGTGGTAGTGGTTGTGGAAAATTGGCTCACCATTCTCCAATGATTCCTTATCCAGTGTCCTCACCGTGAGCACCCTCCCCGTGCCAGACAGCCCGTTCCAGCCCCACCGCGCGACGAACCCAAGCCCTCGCGCGATCCCCCCCGCCCCACGCCCAGCGCTGGGCAGGCTCATCCTACACCCCCACAGGCCACATTTCTGCGGGCAAGATTTTATCCATATCTAGTGCGTCTTGGACTTTCTTGGAAGGGGCGCCACAAGGCCGAGGCGCACTGGATACGAATGAAAATCTAGCCTCCAGCGGGCAAAGTATTTCCATACCAAGTGCTCCTCGGGTTTCTGAGGAAGGGAGCCCGAAACTCCAGATTGCAGTGGATATGGACAGAAGTATTGCCCGCAATTTGGACTCCTCCGACTCGGTTGGATTCGAGTTCGACCGATTTTGATTATGACTCGGTTCGGCATCCGAGTCCGGTTTGGGCGCCAGGGTCTCCATTGTTGCCTCATTAGCCTGCCGATTCCCGCCGATTCGACCTTTCCCGACTTGACTGCCGATTTCCGCTGATCGGTTCATTTCGACGCCAATCCGTTTCATCGATTCGGTTCTGGGCTCCTACCACCACGCGATCCACCCCCAAGCCCTACTCACCGATCGTTTCCAACCTATTTCAAGCGCCTTCCTACGATCTGTTCTTGTTAGTTTTGTTCTTATGTGTGCGGGCTCGAACCCAATCTACTTTATATGCATTCCTACTGTATGTGTCTCTACCTACTTCCGACCGGCGTGTACTGAGCATCTCGGAGAATTGTAGGAGGGTGCCGAGGGAGGGGGGCGATGGCCGACGGCAGTTCCTGTCCATCTTTGGAGCAGGACTCGCTGTTGGTGTCGCCGCGGGCGCCGTCCACTTGAGACCGAGGAGTCATCTCCCTGTCAGTGTTACGTCGGGCATGTCCCTCTACGGGAGGAATATTCAGTAAGAGTACGAACATAGCCTGGTGACGATTTGTCATGCTCTTGTCATTATTTTGTTGAGTATTGTTCGGTTCTTCCAAAATCCGCCTGTAGGAGGACATGCCCGACCTAACATCAGAGGTCGCTGCCGGTTTTGGGCAGCATTTTCTGTTGGGCACCATCCCTATTATTCCGTGCCCATGTCGGGCGTGCCAGGCGCCCTTCCATGGGGGAAGTGAAGGGGCGCTGCCGCGCTCTGCCGAAGGGACCGCTCCTCCATCATCGCTTCCCTCCCCCTCCTGTGCAAACTCCTCGCCCCCTCCCGCCCTCCTTCCCCCTTCGCCCTCCTGGCCAACCTGGCCCTTCTCTGTGCGTTTCTCTCGCGCTTTTCTGAGGATCCAGGATCCGCCTCTAGTTTTCCCTCACTCCTGCGTTGGGCTCTCGTTTTGGACAGCGCACTGCTTCCGCCTTCACCCTTTTTCTTCTATGTACTCACCAAGTGCCTCCTGGCTCCTACCTTCTCGCCCTTCCTGGCTGCTGCGAGCGTCGCAACTGTCGCCACGTTCGTGGGATCCTGGGAGGCCCGTCGAAGTTGTGTATTACGCGGGTGCACACTAGACCACGCCTCACTGGGGGCTGCGAACTACGAAATTGCCCACTGCCGTGGGCTCCTGGGAGGCCCAGCGAAGTGACGTCATACCCAGATCAGGATGAGGCCTCGCCGTCCTTGAGTCCTGCATCTGGCAATGCCCACCGGTATGACGTCATTTCCAGAGAATTCGATCTCGCCGTCCTTAGGTCTTGCGAGCTGCGAAATTGTCCTCGCTCATGTGGCCTCCTGGATGGCACAACGGAGTGACGTCATACCCATATCAGATCAAAATTTAACATCGCCATCTCTGGGCGCTGCGAACTGCGAAACGGTGGCCGCTTCTGGTGGTCTCTTAGGAGGCCCCGCGGAGTGACGTCATACCCAAATCATAATGTGACCTCGCCCTCCCTCTGGGCTGCGAACTGCGAAACGGTCGCCGCTTCTCGCTGTCTCCTTGGAAGCTCCGCGGAGCGACACCATACCCAGATCAGAATCAGATCTCGGCCTCCCTGGGCGCTGTGAACTGCGAGTTCCTCGCAACTTTCGTAATCTCTTGGGACCTAGCGGTGTGAAGCCATACGCAGATCAGAATTTGACTTTGCCCTTCTGGGGGCTGCGAGCTGCGAGCGGTTCGCAGTTTTCATTGCTTGGGAGGCCCAGCGGAGTCTTTTAATACCTATACCAGAAGTGCTCACTCCTCCCTCCTCCGCACACCCTCATCCTCCCATCTCTCTTGCTCGATACTCAATACTGCGTGTGGGCTCGTCCTTTTAAGGACTAAGGCTCTCGAAGCACTCCCACCCGGCCAAAATCGAGGGCATGGTGGACGTATGTTTTATCCAGAGTAGCGACAGCACCAAGTGAGAGCTGACAGAGGGAGGGGGCAACCAGGACGACGACACGGCATGTTCCCAAGGGGAAGATTTTGAAGGGGGTAGGCTTTAGTGGGCCATGGAATCGGCAGGGCCGGTTTTGCACCATTTTCGAAAACGTGTTTTTTGAAAGTGGAAACGATAAACATAGTTGCGACATAAAACGGCAAAGTAACGGCTCCAGAGTGGGAACCGGAACCGGAACCGAAAACAACGGTGATGGAACAGGCAACAAATCGATTACACGTAAGGGTGACCCTTCGCCGGAGTGACCTTTGGTGCAGGCCCAAAGGGGGTCGGGTGCTTTTTCTCGTGGAATGAGCTCGACCTCGCGTCGGCACTCGCATCGCGCGATTATGCTTGCATCTGAGCTCGCCAGGTTTGGGCCCACCCCTTGCAATTGACAGCAACGCATACGCGTCGCACTCTACAGCTTGCATTGGTTACCCGGGGGGAGCCCGTCGACCAGACGGCGCGTTTTCCGGCCCAGGACCAGTCCCGAATTTCAGTCCAAATCCGAAAACTTTTGGCTTGAATATTTTTGGATATCTTTCAATATCTTTGAATATCTTCGAATATGTTTTTTGAATCACTTGGGACCTTTACTACCGACAGTTATCCAAAGATATTCAAACATATTCCTCGCTCACGGATGGGGCCAGTTTTGGCCATGACGCTGGGCCTGGTCAGACGTCATTGTGATGTAGCTCGGTAGTGCCAGACCTCCGCGCGGTGGCCCTCGGCAGCGTCTGCTTGTGCGGCGCCTTCGAAGTGCTGTTCGGGGTGCTCGGATTAAGTCGGCGGATTTCCGCGGATGCCCGCTGGCAAAACAAATCTTTCGGGTGGCGCCCCGCCGATCGTTGATGCGGCGCGGCAACGCCGGCTTGCGCGATTGCGCCGGGCCCCCACGGGCGCCCCTGAAGCCGGGCACCAAAGGTCACTCTAGCCCAGGGTCACTCCTACGCGTAGTCGAACAAAACGGCGACGGAACCGGCAACACAACGGCAAAACGGAACCAGCAACAAGAAACGGCCCAGTCGTTTCCAGGGCCCGCGTGTTTCGCCGCAGCCCCAGGTGACCCAAACAGTGCTGCAGGTAAGGGCAAGGGGGCCAGTCTAGCGAGATGAGGGCGGGTGAGACGGGGCCTGTTTTTTTAGGACCCCGGCAAGTTTATTTGTATGGACGGGAGGGGTGGGCCTGCAGCCGCAAACGGTTCACACGTGCAGAAATCACGCAGGCCAAAAGGAGTTTGCAGCACGCAAAACTATTCGTTTGAAGGGGGGCAAGGGGGGGGGGGCTGAGTTTAAAGAAACAGGCTCACGTCGGTGCAGGCGGGCCGGTGGATGGCGTGCGGCTGCGTTCGGCGCCGTCTCTGGGTGGCACGAGCGCGGGACTCACCCTCCAGCTGGGGGAGGGAGTGGCCCGCCTCGGCGCTTCCCCTCCTTGCGCAGGCCTAGAGGTTAGCACCAACACTAATATCGGCGGCTTGCCTCCACCGATGGAAGATGATCTCGATCTTAGTGATGGTGGTAGCACTCGGGCTTCCAAGGCGGCCGAGAAATGATCAGCTTCCCCTGCTCGAGGCAGGCCCCAGTCTTGGTGTTGGTGCCCATTTCCAAGCCTCCTATCCTTGCCCCCTTCACCCCGGAGCGCGGACGTGGCGTTGAGGCGGTGGATGCTCGGCGGCGAGCCCCGTGGGGGAAACCATCCGACGGGGCGGGGCTTCTCAGAAGGTTGGGAAGGCCTCCGGCCTTCTGAGAGAGGTGTTCAGAGCCTGCTCCGAAGGAGAAGACACAGAAAGCTTCTCAGAAGGCGCGAGGGCTTCTGAGAAACCCCGCCGCCTTCTGAGAAGTCCTGCCCCCTCTCTCACTTCCCCCTCCGGGCTGAGGGAGGGGGAGGCGCCGATGACGAGGAACGACGGCGTTGGCGTCGACAGCGACGACGACGACGACAACGACGACGACGACGACGACGACGACGACGACGACGACGACGACGGCGACGACGTCGACGGCGACGACGACGACGACGGCGACGACGTCGACGACGACGACGACGACGGCGGCGGCGGCGGCGGGGACAACGCGGCTAATTATACCTCCCCAGACATTGGGCGGCACGATTTGTTCGAGATGTGGGCCCCCAGACCGTTGGACCATTTCCGCAGGGCCCGCTTTTCATTTCAAGCCGCCATGTGACAGTTTCGGGGCCCAGAACCCGCCCTCCCATGAGCTTCCAGGAGGGCTAAGAAATAGCACCGGATGTAAACACCTATCCCAAAGCTATTGCACGTCTGGGTTTTAGGATGTTTCGTATCGTTTGTTAGGCTTTTAGGCCTCCAGTGCTACGAAGCAGCTCTCTGGAAGGTCAGGGCCAGAGGTCGAGAGCGGGAAAGAACCCCCCGCTCCGATGCCTGCGCGGCGCCAGGCGTCTATGGCTTCCGCAGGCCAAAGCTCGGGCCCCCGCCAGCCGTTCGGGACGACTCGGGCACCCCCGGGAGCACCTTCTTCGGCGAGGAGGCGCAAGATGCTGGAGCGCACGCCGACGCGACACACAACCCCCCCAGGAACCGGAGCCGCAGGTCAACACAATGCCGGGCGTGTGGTCATGGGGGCATGGCCTGGATTGGGGGTGAAGAAGAGGGGCCCAGAGGGGCACTCCAGGGCCCCTTTCGGAGCCAGCGGGGGCCCAAAAGGGACCCTCAAGGGCACCTTCACTTCCCCCCTATCCGCCCGACATTGGCCGCCTCTGCAGCCACGACGCTAAACGAAGGACCGGCTTGGTCTCAGGAGGGGCTTTGTTTTTTTGTTCCGTCGCAAATCATGGGAGCCGGGCACACCCTATCTTTAACGTCGATGAGCGTCGAGTAGCGCCTGGAAGTCGGTGAGGCAGCGACGATTTAGCGACGATTTAGCGTCGACTAGCGTCGATTTTGCGACGATTTAGCGTCGACTAGCGTCGATCAGCGTCGATTCGCGAGAGCCGATGAGATGGGATGGGAGGCTCCCGGGAGTTGCCACAGCAGGTTTTCAGACAGTTTCTGAGAGATTCGACTTGGGTCGGGGGAACCTCTCCGTGGCCAGGGCCCGCCGTGGCCAGGGCCCGCCGTGGCCAGAAACACATGCCCTTTTACCGCTCCCGATGTATCGTTCCTGGTGGTATGCAGTCAGCCCGCATGGCAAGGATGGGCAAGCTGCCCAAGGGTGCCCCCTTGCATCCCTGCCTCCTCGGCCCATCCTTGGCCACTCTCGCTGGCCGCGACCCGCTCGAGAAGCTTCGAAACGGGCGTCCAAGGCTACCCTTGCAACCTTGCCTCCTCGGTCCTTCCTTGGCCATTTTCGCTGGCCGCGCCCCGCCCGACAAGCTTCGAAACGGGCGTCCAATGCCCGTGTATCGAGTTTTTGTGTTGGGGGGGGGGGGCGGGGGGGCCTTCGAGTTTGGGGGTGGGAGAGGGAGGAGGGAGGAGGAGGAGGGAGGAGGAGGAACGGAGGAGGAAGAGGGAGGAGGAGAAGGAGGAGAAGGAGGGAGGAGGGAGCCCTCGCCCGGGCGCGGCGGACCTTTGGAGTCGCCGACCCTCCTCTATCCTCTGAAATCGCGTGTAGGATCGAAGACAAAAATGGCGGGTACCGAGGGTCCTGGGATATACGTGTTGAATGGTAAAGGAGCGTATGTGAGCGATCAGTATTAACATGACTGTTGTATTCTCATGTATAAAACAATTGTTTTGATCCCCTGGTCCCCCTCCCGTGATCCTTGCATTTTTCAATCAAAGTGCTGTTCCCCTGGCTCGCACCTTGTCCTTCACAAGGGATGCTGGACCGTCACCAAACCATGCCCCTGGCCCCTGGTTTACAGCAACAGCGGCTCCCGCCTGATACTTCCTCACAATGTATTCCCAAATCGCGCTCCCTCGCGGGATTGCCTCACCACGTATACAGGAATCGCGCTCTCGCGTGGTGCTTTTCGAGCCGCCGGACGCTTGTGCCCGAAGGGTTTTTTTCCGTCGGCTACGCGTAAGAGTGACCTTTGGTGCGGACCCACAGGGGTCCCCCCCGCACTGGCCATCGCGCTTGGATTGCTCGGGTTGGGTCTCCACCGCGGCCCCCTGAGGCCGCGAACCACAGGTCACCCTCTTGCCTACGGGGCCACTCCTTGGAGCTTGCCTTTTTCAGACCCTGGCAAGCTTACTTGCACGGACAGGGAGGGGGGAGGGGGGCGGGGCGCCTGAACGTGAAGCACGCCGCAGACGACTTGCACGTGAGGACATCGCGCAAGTCGAAAGGCTTTTGCACGCGGGTATTCGTTTGAAGAGGGGCGGGGGTGGGGGTGGGGGCGAACGGCATGCAGGCAAATTTGCCTGACCCTGAGATCCGACGTCTCGAACAAAAATCGAGGCATCGTGAAAAGGACCCCGCCTTTTTGCGCCAGCTTTCGAGCCGCATCCATCTGTGAATGTCCCCGGGGCCCGTAAGTGGGCGAAGACGCCCGGCTCCCAAACATGGAGCCGCCAGGACCCCCAGGGAAGTCGCAGCCGACCCCCACCCCTCCTCCCGCCCTCCTCCGCCTCCTCCTCCCCGCCCTCCTCCGCCTCCTCCTCCTCCTCCTCCTCCTCCTCCTCCTCCTCCTCCTCCTCCTCCTCCTCCTCCTCCCCTCCTCCTCCTCCCCCTCCTCCTCCTCCTCCTCCTCCTCCTCCTCCTCCTCCTCCTCCTCCTCCTCCTCCTCCTCCTGCTCCTCCTTGGCCCCCCTGGCAGTGCGGGAGGTCGGCGGTGTGCGGCTGGTGCCGCTGCCGCTCGGGTGGGGCGCCTCGCAGCGCGGGCTGCCGCTCGCGGAGGCGGGCCAGCCCCGGGGGCGCCGCCCGGGGACGGCCGCCGCCCAGCTGCTCGGCGGGGCCGGAAGGGACGCGGAAGGAACGGTCAAGTCGGGCGTGTCCCTCTGAAGTGCAGGGGGGGTTTTCGAGGACAGGAAGAATAGAGTCTGGGGGCGAGTTGTTGATGACTTGTTTGACTATGGTTGGTGCTTTTCGCTGATGTGTCAAGTCTCCTTCTCAAATCTGCCTGCAGGAAGACATGCCCGTAAACAATGGGCAGCAGCTCTTATGGTGGATCGAGTCTCAAGCGAAGAGAGATAGAGGCCACGCGTTTGGCCCCTGTAGGGGCTCTTCGGGCCAAGTCGCCCACGGTGCAGCGTCGAACGAGCATCGTGGCTGGGGTCGTTGCTGGGGTCGTTGCAGCTGGGGTCGTTGCAGCCTGGGGGGCCTGAGGTGGGGGGGGGGGGCTAGTCTGTGTGGGAGGGGAGGCGGGAGAGGGAAGCTGCAATCTTCGACAGCCCCGCCTGCCCTGGCCTGCCGGATCGGGGGTGACAGGGGTCGGCGCGGTATTCGGAATCAGAATGGATTGCTTCGCCTGGAATCCTCCACCGCCTCCGCGGCCGCCATTTTGCTTCAACCCTCCGCAGGTCGGGGGTGTCTGGGGCCGTGGCCGCGAGACGGGCTTCCGGCTCTGAGTGAATCAGATTTGCAGGCAAGCCAAGTCCTTTAGAGTAAGGGGGGATGCCAGGCTTCGGTTATCCCCAGGCCCTTGCGCCCTGGCACCATCCGGCCTGCTGTAGGGCACAAGAGCTGTGGCACGAGGTTTGCTGAAGGCGGTCCCCAGTGTCTCTCCTCCCCGAGGCCATCTTTCCACCGTCTCCGGCCGCACAGTCAGCCCCGGCCGCCCGAGTGTCTGGGGAGTCTGGGGTCTTTGCGGTCGGGGGATTGTTTCGGCAAGGAGCGGACCCGGTGGTCACCGCTGCGGCTCGTCTGTGACCCTTCTGGTGTTTGGGTGCTTCCCCTCTTCATCTGCCCCTTCTGCCTGCAGGCCCCAGGGGAGCAGCAGCAGCCGTAGATTTCCTCCTACTCACCACAGCTGTGTCGGAGGAGGGTTGGGCCAGGATGCGCGGCGAGGCCATGCCGAGGAGGGCTCCCCTCCCGGCTGCCCTCTGGCAGCTGTCCCTGCAGCGCCCCTTCCCCGCCCACTGCGGCCGCCATCCATCCCGACGCCTTCGTCCCCGACGCCCTCCTTTTTGCCTTGCCCCCCCGCCCCTGCTCTCCCGACGCCCCCCCCCCCCACGACGCGCGGAGGCCGGGGCGCGCGGCGTAACCCGCCGGGCGAGGAGCCGGCGCTGGCGCTGCAGGAAGGGCGCAGGGGGACCCTCTTCCATCCTCCTCCTCCTCCTCCTTCTCCTCCTCCTCCTCCGCCTCCTCCTCCTCCTCCTCCTCCTCCTCCGATCTCCGTCCTCCTCCTCCTTCTCCTCCTCCTCCGTCCTCCTCCTCCTCCTCCCTTCCTCCTCCTCCTCCCCTCCTCCTCCGTCCTCTCTCCTCCTCCTCCTCCTCCTCCTCTCCTCCTCCTCCTGCCTCCTCCTCCTCCTCCTCCTCCTCTCTCTCCTCCTCCTCCTCCTCCTCCTCCTCCTCCGTCTCTCCTCCTCCTCTTCTCCTCCTCCCTCCTCTCCTCCTCCTCCTCCTCCCTCCTCCCTCCTCCCTTCCTCCTCCTCCTCCTCCTCCCTCCTCCCTGCTCCCTGCTCCCCTCCTCCCTCCTCTCCCTTCCCTGCTCCCTCCTCCCGCCTCCCTCCTCCCTCCTCCCTCCTCCTTTCTCCTTCCTCCCCTTCCCTCCTCCTCCTGTCTCCCTTCCTCATTCCCTCCCTCCCACCTCCTCTATCATTTACCTCCTTCTCCGTTCTTTATTCTCCCCCTCATCCATCCTCCCTCCCTCCCCCTCCATCCTCCTCCCCCATCTGCCTTCGCCAAGGGCTGGCAGCGGGAGGAAGACGAGTGAGGGTGGATGGATCCAGATATGTGGCAGTTCGGCAGATTCGAGGCTGCTTCCGTTTTTTTGCTGTGGCAGTTTTGGGATTTCGGAGACCCCTGGACCGTCAAGAAAATGCCCAGGACGACAAACTGGTCCCGTGGAAGTTGTCGAGAGGTCTGGGGGCCAGTGCCTCCAACAGATAGTGCCGCTGGATATCTGGGGGGGCCGCGAGGTCGGCGGCATTGAATGCCGCCGACCTTAGAAGGCATGGCATTTGTGAGAAGGCCTAGGAGGCTCCAATGGGGGAGGCGCCAGTGCTCATCGCTGTCATGCAGTGTCGCCACAGGGGAGGAGGCGCCCGTGCTCACCACTGCCACGCAGGGTTCATCTTGGCGTCGAGGTGTGCTTGGTCTTCCCTGGGTCATTCGGTGGCTTTTCCTCTAACGCTCCTCCTTGTGCAGATGGGCGCACCCCAGGACCAAAGGCGGCTTCGCTTCTGTTCCAAAGTTCGTTGAGGGAACACATTGGAAGAGGAGGGAGAGGAGGAGGAGGAGGAGGAGGAGGAGGAGGAGGAGGAGGAGGAGGAGGAGGAGGAGGAGGAGGAGGAAGGGACCAGAAGGAGGAGGAGGAGGAGGAGGAGGAGGAGGAGGAGGAGGAGGAGGAGGAAGGGGCGAGGAGGTTTTTCCGAGGGGCTTGAAACATTTGATAGCGCAATTCCACCAAAAGGATAGGTCCTCCACGTCCACCTGCGGACCCAGTCGTCCGAAGTCCCGATTGCATCACCCCCTCCGTTTTTTCTCCGAGCTTGACCCTCAGGGGCTGTTGTCGGGCCTGGGGCCGACCGAACATCGATCCGGGATGGAACACTACCCCCCCCGGGAGGAGGGTCCGGATTTTGGGGGCCCGCAGACCAACGAGACTTCTCGGAGGTCGGGGGGCGTGCCTCCTGGGGCTCTCGAGGAGCGTTTGATGTGGACACCGTTCTGCAGGGAGCGACGCGCATCCGCATCTCACGCTCCGCGCCGTCCTCGCAGGCTCGTCTCCGAGTCGGTGGATCTGGGCAGAGCCCTGGGCGTGGACCCGCGGGAGCGGTCCGGCACGCGCGCGTCGGGTCATGGACGGGGCCAGGGCAGCCAGGGCGACGTGTCACAAGCAGCCAGGGCGACAGATTTTGCAGGAGACGCTGCGGGGCAACCTTTCGTTGGTTGACCCGAAAGGGGATGCAGCGAAAAGAGGGTGGGGCAATAGATGTGGTGCAAGAGAGTATTGGGGTTGCGATAGGTTGGGGACATGCAATATATCCCGGTGCGCAAATGTATTGCTGGGTTTTTGCGTGTAGTACACTTATTTACAATACGATGCAATAATAAAATTCTCTGACGCAATAAATTTGCAATACGATTGCCCCAAACCTATTGCACCACCCCCTTTCAGGTGGATCAGCTCCTGGGTCAACCAACGATCTCCGACCCCGAGCCAAACCTCCGAGTCGGTTTGGGGAGAGGTCGCCGCGACGATCGCAGCGGCCACAAATCAGGGCGAGTTTTTTTGCGAAGGATGTTGCATGCCCCTTGAAAGCCCCCTCCCCCGCTCTGCAATGTCGACGTGGACCATAGTTGTACATATCTGCTTATATATATATATATATACATGTATAGATATAGAGAGACAGAGAGTTGTCAATGTATGTCCAGCATGGTGATGTATGTACTTGGTCTTTCTGGCCTTCGCCTCCATTCCTAATTAAAGCACGCCGATAAAGGAACATTCAACAGCATTGCCACACATGTCACCAGGACTCGTTACATTAGTCGCAGTGCTCGTATTAATACTGGTACTGGCCATACCACCAGCGGTTGTAGCAGTAGCAGTGGTAAGCGGATGCATCGTGTCCTCCACAGGCTCGGTTCCAGGTCGCAGTTACGGCATTCGTATGACGGAGCAATGCTTACAACTAGTGATTCAGTTTTGGTTGAACTATGCCCCGCGGTCATGACATCCGTATTTGTTGGCCAATGTGTTGCAGCAACTGGTTCAAGCACAGTGCGTCTGAGCCAACATTGTGTTATGCAGGGGTCTCTGGGGATATTCGATGTAGGTAGGCGGTCTGGCCAATGTTATGATCGGAGAGCTCGTAAATTCTCGAGACAGGAGGCACATGGGATTGAGCGAAGACTTTGGATCTCGCAGGCAGTTCATATCGCATGATGTTTTGATTGGTCCGATTGGATTACAGTATCGCGTTACGTTAAACGAAATTGTTCAGGGGGTCGCCAGTATTCGTAAACCGTCATAGCAGAAGTGAGAATGCGAGTTTCTTCTCGGAACTTGAATCTCTGGGACGAGTTCGGTGTCGCTCCCCTCCCCCCCCTTCCGCCCAATGTCCAAACGCCGAATTCGAGCATGCGTTCCGTCTGTGGAGATGCCGCCCCCTCGATGCCTCGTGCCCCCTCCGCGCGCCCTCGAGACCTATCGATCCCTTCCCCATGGGCGTGCTTTCAATCCTGGGCCGTTCTCTGCATGCTCTGGGGCCCGAGACCAGGCCCCCCAGAGGCCGAGCGTCTTCCTCTTCATGTTCCTCTTCTTCTTCTTCTTCGTCGTCCTCCTCGTCGTCCTCCTCCTCCTCCTCCTCTCCCTTTTCGTCCTCCTCCTCGTCCTTCTCCTCATCCCTGCCGCCTGCCTGAAGGCCAGCGCCCTGGGCCCCTCTCCCTGGTGTGCGGAGCGCGTCAGGGGCGGCGATGAAGGCGCCGCCCGGGAAGGGTCCAGCGCAGATCCCAGACATCCGCGCGGACCCTCGGACAGATTGTGGTCATGCCGGCTTTCGGGTAAGTCTGCCCACCTGTTACACGCGGCCGGGCCCGGCGCGCGCGGGCGCGCGGGCCTCCCTCTCCCCTGCCCCCTTCCCCCCTGTCCCCTCCCGCCACAGGGCGTGTCTTGCGCTGGTAAAAAGTGCTCATGCCGGCTTTGCTTCTTCGATGTCTGGCGTCGATTCGCCAGCTGCCGCCCACATCCTTGGGTCCGCCAGTCGTCCTGGGCGAAGGCCAGCGCCCTGCCGCAGAGCGGAGGGTCGGGCGAAGGGCCGGTGGACTGCATTTCCGCCTGCGCTTCCGCCAGCGGTGCTAGGGTGGGGGCTGCCGTTCAAAGGACATTTCTCAGGAAGCTTCAGGCCCTTGGAGATTCCTTATCTGATGTCATGGCGCCCACATCGCAGAGCGGATTTCGTTCGGAAAACGATCGGATTGGCCCAGAGTGTCCTGGAGAATTTCGTTCCGGAGTTCGAGGTGAATTTCGTGAGGAGTTTGGGCCAGGATTGAAGACTAATAACATTCCACTCGAAATTCACTTCGTTTTTCGCTCGCCGTTTAGGGCAAAAATCCAAGCAACAAATTAACGCAGAAATCCGCTGCAGCACGTCTGCTAGGCTTGTGCAATGACATGTCCCAGGAAGTTTCAGACCCTTGATGATTCCGTATCTGATGAGGGCGGCGGGGACAAGGCCATGCCTCCATGGGTGTTCCACTGGCTTCCAGACCCTGGGCTCCTTGCCCAGCGTTTCCTTGGCCGATGCCCTCACCGTATACCGTTCCTCCTTTCTGTGACCGCCCCCCCCGTGCTCTCCGCCCGCCTCCGGCGAGGGCGAGCCCTCGGACCCGGGGGTCCAGAGATGGGGCCCGGAGGGACAGTGCCCCGAGGACAGGGAAGGGCTTCCAGTGCGAATCTGCACTGCTTATGAGCCTGTTTTCGCTGGACCGCGGCGGGTTCGCTTGTATAGGGACCGGGGGAGGGCCCGAGCCTGAAGCGAGCCGCAAACGACTGGCGCGCGAGGAGATCACGCAAGTCGAAGGGCACTTGCACGCCAGTATTCGTTGGAAGAGGGGCGAGTGGGAGGGGGTGGGGGGGCAAACGCCATGCAAGTAAACTTGCCTGATTTTTTGCAACAGCAAAAAAAGAACAGGCTCCGTGTCCCATCCCTCCGGGCCCCATGTCTCCGGGCCCCCATCTTCGAATGGCGAAGGCTCCAGACATCCGACGATGCTGTCATGTTTCCAGGAGCAGGGTCCCCAGAAGTCCCGGCCCCGTGCCCCAGGGCCGGTGTCTCCTCCTGCGCCGTATGTTGATGGCCCTGGGGCGCGAAGCCCGCCCCCTGAGTCCACACAGAGGCGGCCGAAAACCACGGAACTCGGAGGAGGAATAAGGAGGCCCCTCCTCCTCCTCCTCCTCCTCCTCCTCCTCCTCCTCTTCCTCCTCCTGCTCCTCCTCCTCCTCCTCCTCCTCCTCCTCCACTTCCTCCTCGTCCTCCTCCACCAAGGAGGTATCCATGCCTCTACCCTTCGCCTGTTTTCCCCTTTTCGGGCCTGCTGGGAGGCCCTCGTCGCCACCGTTGGATTCGCCTCGAACTCCTGGTCCGAACGCGCTCCGGGAGAGGTCCGGGGAGTAGCGGTATCGGTGCCGTTTGGTCTCTCCAGGAAAGCCACCGTCTTGTTGTCTTCGAGTCTTCGAGAACCCTGGATGTCTTGGGTCCTCCGCTGCAGCGCCCTGCGAACTGCGGAGGAAGGGCTTCCTGCTGATGCGGAGCGGCGCCTCCCCTGGCTGCGGTTGAGACCGCCCTGGGAAGCGAAACGGGCAGCGGCATCGAGAGAGCGAGCGGGGGGGGGCGAGGAGGAGGAGCAGGAGGAGGTCGGGCCGCGCCGTGGTCGGGCTGCGGCAGGGCCAGTGCGGAGCGTCAGAGCGAAGCGCCCGAGCCGGCGGCGTCGGCCAGGGTCCGACGATGCGGATACGCGTGCGTAAAAGCGGCCCCTCGACGGAGTGACCTCTTGTGCGGGCCCGCTGGGGCCCCCGGAAGGCTGAGTGCGATTGAACAGCAGCAGCTCGCGCGCTTGGGTTCGTCCCTCCTCGCCCCCCCCCCCCCCGGAAGCCTTGCACCAAAGGTCGCTCCGGTCTAGGGTCTTCCCTGCGTGCAGCCGTGCGATGGCCACATCGTCCCGGTGGCCGGCCCTGTGAGAGGAAGGGCGCAGGCCCCTGGATGGCCCGCTCCTCTTCGACGCCGCGCTGCTGCAGAGCGCGGCCACGCTTGCCGGCTACGCATCGCCGGGGCGGCGCCTGCGCTACGAAGACTGGGCGCCGGCCGGGGTCGGAGGAGGAGGAGGAGGAGGAGGAGGAGGAGGAGGAGAAAGAGGAGGAGAAAGAGGAGGAGGAGTGGTTCGAGGGTCGAGGGTCTTGGGGGACTTGTTCTTCGGGCCCGAGGACACGAGGACGACGGTGGCGCGGGCGACGTCTTCGTTTCGGAGGGTCCTGGGGGGCAGCTCCAAAGAAAGACCCCGCGTCGAGGAACCGGTCCCAAGTGCTCCAGTGCCCACGCCGTGAGGAAGATACACGGCGTCGCAGGTCTTTGCTTGCAGACATCCAACCTCCTGCTTGTTTTGCAGTTTGGTCTCCAGGGGTCCTCGCCGGGCCCCAGGGCAGTCAAGAAGCGGAGCGGGTCTGTTTCCTCCTCCGTTTAGAACTACTCCCTGTATGGAGGGCGGCTCCTTTTGAAAACGGGGCTCCTGCCCCAGCGCCATGCACATTTGTTTTAACAGTTCGCAGCCGATGCAAGGATGAATGGCAGTTCCTGGTCAATTTGGCTTCGCCCAAGATGCGACTTTAAACGTAAAGACGACCTGTTTCATCCGATTTAGTATTTGCGCAGGTGATGGAGGGCGGGTAGTGCTGGTTATGCTGTTTTGTTCGCTTCGGGGCAAGAGTTGTAAACTTGCACGGCCGTGACGCGCAAGGGGGGCGGTCCTTCAAAACGCGGATATCGTTGGACGCCCCGTCCCATACATCCAGCTGCTCCATTTTTGTTCGATGCGTGTGTCCCAGAGGTCCGGACCACTTCTCTAGGGCCGGTTGTTCGTCCCGAATCGTTTTCTGACGCCCCCGAAGCCCGGCGAGGGCCCCAGAGGCCGAAAGCGATCAAAAGCCGCCTGCTCCAATTTTTTTGGAGCGTCGGATCTCAGGGGTTGAACAGTATGATCAAGTTCGTTGCAGTCCCGAGTGCGCCCTGGAGGAGTGCAAGGCAGCTCCTGTTCAGAACGGAGCTCACGCCTGAGTGGCAGACTCAAGTCGGGCCCGTCCCTCAGGAGGAATATTCCAAAATAGTAAAACAATAATCTGGGGACGACTTTTATTGCATGTTTGATTACGGTTTGAATTTGCAGTGGATTTGTTTTTTCCCTACCTAGGCTCTGCCTAGAAGGGTTCTTACTCTCTTAGCTTAAAGGGGCCGGGCAGTGGAACACGCCCCGGGCGGTTCCCCCAGTCCCCTGGGAGCGGTTCCCCCCAGTCCCCTGGGAGTTTTAGCTTTATCTTTTAGCTTAGCTTTAGCTTAGCTTTAGCTTAGCTTGAGCTTAGCTTTAGCTTAGCTTTAGCTTAGCTTTAGCTTAGCTTTAGCTTAGCTTTAGCTTATATGTAGCTTAGCTGTAGCTTAGCTTTAGCTTAGCTGTGGCTTAGCTTTAGCTTAGCTTTAGCTTTGCTTTAGCTTAGCTTTAGCTTAGCGTTACTGTTACTACTAATGCTGCTTTCCTAGGGGTTCCAACTCCAAGGTAGGGTCGCACTGGGATAATTATAAGCTTCGTCCGAACTCCGCCTGTAGGAGGACATGCCCGACCCGATGGCAGACCCAGGGGGCGCTGGTCTTCCCACGGGGGCGCCTCCTGCGCTGACACAAGCAGGCTCGGCGGAACGTTCTGGGGAGGGAGCTCCGGACGGGGGGGGCGCAGCATCGCTGCTGCACCTCGGGCAAGCTCGAGGGAGGAGAAGCCACCCGGACCGGACAACTGTGGCGTTAACTAAACGGCCCTGGACGTTTGCTAAACAGCCCTGCCCTGCTTGATTCCTTCTCTGGGTGCGTTTACTAAACGGCCTCGCGTGTCGGGGTGGTTATTATCGGGGTGGATTTTCTGCCCTCGTCAAACGCTGGTCCTCACTCTCATTATGCTTATCCTTCTCCCCGTGCTCCGCATCAGCCTCCCCGTCATGCTGGCAGCGGTGTTCGAAAGCCTGTGGTGTTTTGATCGGCAGCGCATCCTTCTCCAGGACCCCCTCGTGCTGCTCGTCCTCCACGGCCGCGCCCCCCACCCCCTCCGCCCTCCTGAGCCTCCCACCGCCCTCCTGCTAATCTTTATCCTGCTTCTCCTGCTCCTGAATATCCTCCTCCTCTTCCTCCCCATCCACCTCTCTTTCGCTCGCTCTCTCTCGCTCTCTCTCTCTCTCTCTCTCGATTCCTCTGTCACCCTACATGCACACGTTTGCATACATGTATGTGTGTGTGTGCCTCTCTCTCTCTCTCCCTCGCTTTCTCTCTCTCTCTCTCTCTCCCTCTCGCTCTCTCTCTCTCTCTCTATCTTCTTCTCTTTCTCTTTATATCCATTTTTCGTTGTTGGTTCTCTCTCTGTATGCACGCATCGATGTATCTCTCTCTCTCTCTCTCTCACACTCTCTTTCTCTCTTTCTCTCTTGGTGCCTCCATCCTCATCTTGTCCTCCTCACCTTCCACCACCATTGACCATCTTGCCCCCTCCTTCCTCAGTCCCTTCCTCCCTCCCTCACCCAGGCCGCACTCTGCCGTCTATGTGGGCGCAGGTGGGGGTTAGAACCACCAACTGTGCAATTCGACTGGGGCTATTTTCACGACGTCGTGCGTGCGGTTCCGTCCTCTCTCATCGGGGCGGGAGTACGGAAGAAGAGGAGGAGGAGGAGGAGGAGGTGGAGGAAGAGGAGGAGGAGAAGGAGGAGGAAGAGGACGAGGAGGAGGAGCAGGAGGAGGAGCAGGAGGCAGCAGCAACAGGAGTATGATGGGCGGGAGAAGAGGGCAGTGCACTCTTGCCAACCGTCTCAGGAGGATGATCATCACGGGCAGGAGGAACGGAGGCGAATGATGAGAAGGAGGAAGGGGATGATTGGGGCGGCATGGGGAATGATCAGGATGATGATCAGGAAGAGCAGGGAGAGGAGGAGGAGGAGGAGGAGGAGGAGGAGGAGGAGGAGATCGAGGCTGGTGACGAGGATGATGATGACGATGATGAAGGACAGGAAGGAGGGATTTTACGAGGGTCAGAACGAGCAGGATGAGAAGGACAAGGCGGACGACGGCGAGAACGACGAGTACGGAGGCTAAGAAGGAGGAGAGAGAGGAGGAGGTGGAGGAGGAGGAGCAACAGGAAGAGCAAGAGCAAGAAGAGCAGGAGCAGGAACAGGAGCATAGAATCCGCAAGGGGAGGAGGAGGATGACGACGACGCCCTCAACGACGGCGACGACGAGGAGCGACACGGAAGATGTGGGCAAGGAGGGCATCCCAAGGCAGCGGGGCGCGGCGGCGACGCGGGCGAAGGCGCGCTGCGGATGGAGGCGGGGGGCGGGGGCAGCGCTACTCGCCTCCGTGACGTGCGCGCCTGACGCAGCGGACGGCCTGCCTCGGTCCGTCGCCTCGTGGGTTGGCATTCTTCGGTGTCCTCCTCGACGGGCCGTAGGAGGCGCGTCGTTTTCGGAGGTTGCTCGAGGTGTTCCCGGCCCAGCGTGCCCCCCAGCGTTTAGACAGCCCTTAGGGTCCCTTGGACCCCCTGTCATGTGTGCTCCGGAGTCTGCGGGGGCCTTCCTGGGATTCCTCGGGACACCTTTTGGCAAGGGACACGTTCCACCCTGCAAGGCTCTGCCAATTGCCTTGACACGGGATTGTATGGGCGCAAGGGGGTGCCGGCTCTGTTCCTCTACACTGTGCGTCTTCGCGCTCGGGGCCCCCGACGGGCGGGGTCGACGTGGGGCCCGTTGCATCGCCCAGATTGGTAGAATCTTGAAGGTAGAATTTCTGGATTCGAGGAGGTGCGCGCTTTACCTCCAGCGCACCATGGTCAGCGCAGTGCAGCAGACATCGTACTCGAGCCTCCCAAGGGTTCGACTAGCGGTGCTCCGCGTGCCCGTTCACGCCCAGATTGATGTTACCTACTAGGCAGATCGCATGGTTGCGACGCGTGTCCTCCTCCTGCTCCTCTGTCCTCCTCCTCTGTCGTCCTCCTCCTCCCTACTCCCTCCATCCTCCTTCCGCTTTCCGCTCCTCTTCGTTTGGTCCTTTTCCTCCTCACCCCTCCCTTGTCCTAATCCTGATCCCAGATAGTCTGCGGGTGCCCCAGGGGAAGGTCCCTGAAGCCCCAGGACGCTCCGCAAAGGTCAAGGAAGTCCCGCAATTCTGAGAGAACCCCGAGGGATCCCAAGGTCCCGCCCAAGTAGGCCAAAGAATTCCCCGTGAGGCCGAGTGACCCCCCAGGAAGCCTCAGGAGACTCCAGGGCGCTCGAGGACGCCCCTCAAGATGATTTGAGCAAAGAGCGGCACAGAGTGTCAGGCAGCTTCAGAAGGCAGGACATAAGACCAGGGTAGAAGCAGTAAGTAATTCAGAGTAGCAGAGAGCTACAGATCGATGCAGAGAGCAGAAGAGAGCAGCAGAGCGCAGCAACAGACTAGCAGAGAGCATCAACCAACAACAAAAACATCAGAAAGCAGCAGAGCAGCAGATTTAAACGGGAAGTGCAGAGAGCCTTGGGGACCAGTAACTGACAGCAGAGAGCAAAGCGGCACAGAGAAGCAGATGGCGGCAGAGAGCAGCAGAGAGCAGCGTTCCCACTCGGACCCGCTCTCGCTCAATGATAACTCGCGCCCAGACCCGCTCACGTGCTGGTCGAGTAGTGTTTTTCCTGGTTGGCTGGTCCTGGGGGTCACCGCGGAGGAGGTGCAAATTTGTTGACAAATCAGAATACGAACTTCCCCTCCTCACAGTTTCGAGCCGCCGGATGTCTGCGTGGGTACCTCGCCAGGGAGATTCGCATCACAGGCTCGAAATCGCCACCAGCACCACAGAGCAAATCAGGATGGATCCCAAGTAGATATCAACCGGGGTTTATACTTTTCCAAGATTATTGGCCCGGGTTCATAATATCCCCACCAGAACATGATGAACCTGGTTCCAATGTTCTGGGAATACTGACTGGGGTTCATAATGTTCCCCCCGAAAGATTATAAACCCTGGTTTATAATGCACTGGGGAGATTGACCCAAAAAGCAGATTAACCTGGGTTCATCATGTTCCGGGAATATTGACTGGGGTTCATAATGTCCCGGCAATAATGAGCCCGGTTTTCGTAATTCCGGAATGATAGTAATTATCATTGTTCCCCCAACCCCCAGGTTCCCCACCAGGTTTCTCATGTCGGAATATTGGCCCCCGTTCATTATCTCCAGGAGATAATAAACCTGGATTCATACTGTTCCCGGAATATTGACCCCGGTTAATGATTCTGGAATGATAATGATTGAGCCTGGGGGGCGCCGTTTGAGATTACGTTCCGGACTGAAATAAACGCTGGTCCATAATGCTGGAATATTGAACTTAGGTTGATTACTCCGGAAAGATCATGATTCGGCCGGGGGGGGGGGCTGAGCCCGATCTGTTCACAGGAGAATATTCCATAGGGTATCATTTGAAGATAATGAACATATGTTTTCATTCCTAGCTAATCAACCACGGTCGACGAGGATTTCGGAGGTGGCCTCGAGCAAATCGTCCTCGCACGGGCTCGGTGGACTGCAGTGGAAAGCCATGCCAAGAAACACCCTGCTTGCCTCCAGGGTGCTCTGGTTTTCTTGGGTTTCGATGGTTTTGCTATGGGGATCGTGCTCCCACACCAAAAGTCAGTGGACGTCCTGGGGCCTCAGGGTTGGGTTTCTTGTGGAAGGTCTCTCGTGGTTGAGCTCCTACTGCCGGCCTTCACAGCCCCCAGCTTCCGCTGTCATGGCCTGCTGACGCAGTGGGCTCCAGAGCTTTCGGCCCCCTCCCCGCGGCAGGATCTGCCGGAGCGCGCCGTTTTTTTCTGTTTCGGTGCGGCGTCGGAGGCCTGGGCCCCCGCGGCCACCAACGAGCCACCCTCGGACTCCTCCTCGCCTGCGTCCGACTCCCCGGAACAGTGCCTGCACCGAGGGGCTCTGACCTGCGTCGGGAGGGAGCTGGATGGGCCCAGCTGGGATTTCCCGCGTGGCCGCCTCGTGGCCGCCTCGTGCGCCGGGTGGGTCCGGCGAGGTTTCGCCATGAGGCCGCCCGTGGCCGCCCATCGTGCTGTGCCTGCACCTGGAGGCCCTCAGCCCTCACACGGGGTGCCAAAAGAGCTCACCGTCCGGGTTCCACGCCGGCAGACGTAGAATTCTGAAAAGGAGTCCAGCCTTGGCGCCAAGAAGCTTCTTGGAAGTCCCACGCGAGCCGCACACGTCCTCGAGCTTGGGGCGGTCTCGACCCTCGGAGCTCGATCCCCTCTCGGGTGGTGCCAAGGGTGTCCCTGGCCCTCGAGCGATGTTCTCAGCGCCAGGCCGCATTATGGAGCCCGCCGGGGGTGCTTGGGGAAGCCACCCGGGCCGTCCGGGAAGAATTGTGTTAAGTCGGGTTTGTCCCTCTGCAGGAGGAGTGTTCAAAATAGTGAAAAATAATCTGGGGGCGATGTCTTGACTATTTTATGTTTGAGTTTGTTTGTTGGCCTGTGTTTGATTTTTCGTCCCAAATCCCCCTGCAGGAGGACATGCCCGACTTAAGAATTGTGGCCACACTTGGGCCAGATCCACTGCATCATTCTCTTGTTTCAAAACCCCCGTTGGCGTAAAAAACGCCCAGAAGGCAGAATGGGCAACGCTGCTGTGATCAGAACCCCCCGTGCCCCCCCCCATTTCAATGTTGAAAGCGGGGTTGCCTTGGCGGTGGAGTTTTGGGCGTTTTTTTATGCCGACGCTTGCACCCCGACAACGGCCGCGAAGGCAACATTGAAATGGGGGGTCTCGGGGCGGGCGGCACCGTCGAAGCAACGTCTGTGGATGGGCGTCCTTTACGTCAACAGCGGTACGGGCGCCCTGACTCCAGGGCCAGCTTTCTCTGCGGTCCCGGAATCCGTAAATTGGCCCTGGGAGGCCAGACGCGGCGGGACAAACTCTACGTGATCTTGGGGCGACCTGGCGTTTGATCTTTGGCGTTCGGGCCATAGCTTGGGCCTCTGGCGGCCGATCGGGACGATTCGGGCACCCCTGGAGCGCTCTCGACGAGGCGCATCTGCTGGAAAGAGCTCCGAGTCGAGAGGGTCCCAGAGAATCCACGAGAACGTCCAACAACCACGGAATGTCAACGTCCGCGCCCCCCCTCCCGAGCCTCAAGCCCGAGTCCCGAGCCCGAGCCTCGAGCCTCGAGCCCGAGCCCGAGCCCGAGCCCGAGCCCGAGCCCGAGCCCCGAGCCCGAGCCCGAGCCCGAGCCCTGCCGCCAGCCCTTCGGCGCCGACCACCGCGTCTTCGGCTCCTACGGCGGCCTGTGGGCGCTGCTGGGCCTCGCGGCCGCCTCGGCGCCGAGGCCCGGCCCGACCCCCGCTCCCGCCCCGCCCTCCGGGAGCATCGGTCTAGGCCTCCTAGATGGCGTCGGAGTATTGTGGGGTCGGCGGATCGCGCCGCATCGCCGATGCATCGCCGGAGCATCGCCGATGCGGCTCGATGCGGCTCGGTGCGGAGCCCGACGTTTCTTCACATCGGCAATGTATCACTGATGCGGGGCGATCCTCCGACCCCATCTAATCCGACCTCATCTGGGAGGCCTCTAGTCGGTCAGGCCCGCCGCGCACGCTGGCAAGCTTCGCGCCGATGACCTGTGCTGGTTTTGCACAGCATGAGATCCTGGCCTTCACAGATCGATCCGGCTCGGAAAGTGGCGCAGAAGGATGGGGTCTAGGGCTCCAGTCGCAATTTTTTTCGATGCTTGATTTTTGTTCGAGACGTCGGACCTTAGGGAAAGTCAAGGCGGAGTTTCTCCGTCGCCCTGGGACAGTAAAAAAGCGACTGGTGATGAAAAAACTAGCCCCTGTGGAAAGAGGGTCGGTGTTTCTGGGGACCCCGTTTTGAAAAGAAACGGACACCATATGTCTGGGACAGCATCCAGTCCAGAGGAAAGGAAAGCGACACCATTACCAGGGCTGCCACTTCCAGCGAGGATGTTCACGATGCTTTCCCGAGCTGGGAATAGGGGCTGTCTCGATCGGACAGGGAGGACCACATCCCTGGAAGGACCCTCCCCTGGTTCCTCGCGCTGGTGGTGGCGGTGTCGCTGCTCCTTGTTCCTTAGTGGCTTCCGAGAAGGAGGCGATGCCAGGGGCCATTGTGCTTCTTCCCCGTTGTTCGCTGTGGTTCTCAGCCTCCTGTCGGCGTCACCTCAACACACTAATACTATGTGTTCGTCGCCCCCCCCCCTGGGTGACGCGCGCACCGAGAAATCTTACAGTGTATACGTCGTGGCGGGCGCTTTCTGACCACACCGCTCGGGAAACGATATACTACAAGATGGGTCGGAGGTTGGGGGGGGAGTCCGACGTGAAACGGAGACCCCTCCTACCGGGAAATCGATTTCGGTTTCGGGTTCGTGTCGCGCGTGCCGTGCGTGCGTGCGTGCGGGCGAGGCGAACCTGCGTGGGCGGGCGAGAGGAAATTCTCCTGTGGCTGGGCCGCGGCCAGACAAAATGATCCCCCCCCGGTAACCGGTGGCCCGCAGTGTCCCGCTGGTGTCCCGCTGGTGTCCCGTGGTGTCCGCCGTTGCTAATTAGGGAGAAGTCAAAACAAATGATTCTCCCCCTCCCGCCCGTCCAGCGGTGGCTCGCGGTGTCCCGCGGTGTCCCGTGGTGTCCCGTGGTGTCCCTTGGTGTCCCGTTGAGTGAGATCGACAGTGAGATCGATAGTGAGATCGATACTGAGATCGATACTGAGATCGTTGTGGTGCCCCGAGGTGTCCCGTTGTGTCCCAAAAAGTGAGATCGCTAGTGAGATCGATAGTGAGATCGACAGGTGTCCCGTGGTGTCCCGAGGTGTCCCGTTGAGTGAGATCGATAGTGAGATCTATAGTGAGATTGACAAGTGTCTCGTGGTGTCCCGTGGTGTCCCGTGGTGTCCCGTTGAGTGAGATCGATAGTGAGATCGATTGAATCATATATTGGTTCCCCCCCACTCTCCGCCCACAACCTCCTTATCACCCGAAGGGAGGTCGTATAGGTATACTATAGATTCGGGTCGGACGCGCGCCTCCACGGAGGACATAGTATTAGTATGTCTCTGTGCGTCCCATCCTGTGGCGGCCCTTCGTGGCCACGGCCGCCCTCGGCTCGGAGTCCTGGTCGGTGGCGCGCCCCTCGAGATGCCCGGGGCAGCTGCAGGGTCGGTGCAGCGGATACAATACTGACGACAAGGAGTTCTGCTGGAATCGAAGAGAACAAAAACGTCATAAACATAAACTCTTGACGCTCCGCGCGGGTTTCTTGGATTGGCCCCCTGGCGGCGCCTCCGGCGCCGCTCCTGGCGCGCTCCGCGCGCCAGGGAGGGGGGTCCAGCGCGGCTCCTCCTCCTCCTCCTCCTCCTCCTCCTCCTCCTCCTCCTCCTCCTCCTCCTCCTCCTCCTCCTCTTCCTCCTCCTCCTCCTCTTCCCAAGAAGTCTTGCCATCAGAGGCCTCGGGGCACAGCCGGCGTCGACATGGAGCTTCGCAGGGCGCCCCCAGGGAGCGTCCGGACCTGATTCTTTACATTGCTACAATTTTTTGCAGAAGTCGGAGCTCAGGGTTTGTTCCCTCGTGCTCCGTGCACGACCACGTAAACTTGAAAGCCCGACCTTTTCAGGACAAACGGAGCACTTGAATCTGTGCCGCGGGAACGTGCACGGAGCTTGGGCTCATGTTTGCTGATCGGCCGCCATCCGCCTCTGTCGAGACTGAACAAAAGTTCTGCTGTTCCCTCATGGTCGCTGCGCAGCCTGACCACAGCGTCGAAGCGGCAAGCCCCATCGCCCTCTTGGGCCTCCGAAGGGCGATTTCGGGTCCTTGCGCCTTCAGCACGGGCTACTTGGGATGAGAAGCCAGTCTTTGGGGAGCGATCGAGATCAGCACCATCCAAACGCATTTACACTATGTGTGCGTCGGCCACGCAGGGGCGGGGGCGACGCGCACGCTTCGAACTCTCAAAATGTAAGCTCTGTGGCGGGCGCTTTCTGGCCATACCGCTCGGGACAGTATATACCACAAGAAGTTGTACTGGATGTCCTGGGCGGACGTGCGCCTCCAACAGAGGCGCATGTGCTACCCATGGGTATGAAAGTAGGTATTTTTAGGTTCCGAGATTCCATTCTACTTTGAGTGCCTTCCTACTTCAATGATTGAGTGGCTTCACCTGTTCCGTCCTCCTTAGGGGGCGGGCGGACACCCAATCTACTTTCAACACCTTCCTACTTCATGTTTCTACCTACTTCTTCCAACCCAGGTCTGAGGGGTCAAAGTTTTGAAGAGTCGAGCCGCTGGATCTCTGTGAGGGGACAGGGCGAGAAGTAGGGCGGACCTCTGAGCAGGCGCCTTGCAGCTCTCAGAAGCCAGGCTGCCTTCTCTGAGACCCTCTCAGAAGGCCGCCCCCCGCTGGAACGGTACCCCTCACCAGCAGACGGAGCGCGGGGGTGGACGATGCTCGCAGTTTCGGTACTGATCGCGTGATGGCACACGTTTTGTCCAGCTGTACCTCGTTCGTCTCACCGAGTCGGTTTCGCCCTTCCTTCTTCTCTTCTCTTTGCGTACCTGGGCGTCCTCGGATGACCCTCGGCGGAGTCTGAAACCACAAATTCGTGCGGGAACGCACCGATGCCTGACCCCCCCCCATCAGGCAGGGGCGCGGAGATCACCACGCTTCGCGGTCCGGACCAGAGAGGCGCTGCGTATTCTGCAGGGGGGCGGTGCGATAGCGCGAAGGTGACCGCGTTCCGCACAGCACGAGGAGTGGCGTCAGGTGACCGTGCAAGCTCCAACCGATGGCAGGTGCCTGTGCTCAGCAAGTCGCCGCTGTGCCGGCATCCGAAGCGAGGGCTCGGCCTGCGTGCCGGTAGCGCGCTGGCCCTCCATTCTGGAGGCGACTTGCCCCTCCATCTGCCAGCCGACGGTCTGTGCTGGCAGGCGTCGTTGCCCAGCGGCTCTCTGGGTGGAGGCGGGCGCCGCGCTGTGCCCGCAGGAGCCTGGCCCGTGGGCACAGGCTATGACACGGATGATGCGGTGCACGCTGGCAGCTGCCACTAGCGCCTGCGGTCCGCGTGGGACGCGCGAGTGCACAGCCATTGGGCACCGCTGCTCAGCGCCTCTCCGCTTGGGATGCGTGCGCCGCTCCGCGACCGCGTGGGGCACCCGCAGCGCTACCGACCCTGGCTGCGTGTCCTGCCCCACCGCTCGGACGGGGCCGGAACGCAGCCTGGGAGAGGTCCGGGGAGCAGCGGCGTCGGCATCATGTTGTGCTCTCCGTGCTCCCCACCCCCAGGCTGAGCATGTGCTATCCATTTCGGCCTTTCTCCCGCCACAAAAATGTTTATGTGATATGTGTGTATCTGTATTTGTTTACACATATCGGTATACATGTAGATATCGACACCCTCTGATGGACTGTTGTGCAAAGTTAGTTGGAGACTGTCTGTGCAGATGAGTTCGTGCCAGAAGTCTCGTCCAGCTCCTGCAATTTCTGGTTTTCGTCCTCCGCCCCTCCCGCTCACCTCCCACCTACACCACCTCTTCCCTCGCCCCTCCTCCATGCCCTCTTCCTCTTCCTCTTCCACGTGGCATCACCCATCCATCCTCTGTCCTTTCCCCTTTTCCCATTATTCAAATTCAGGAACTGTCCAAGGAGCCTTTCCTTTTTCCGCCCTCTATATATGCCTGTGCTCTGCATGCGTTTGCCCGGAGTGGTGCGCAACTTTTCTGGCTCAAGCCGACCAGGAATGCTAGTGGTCCTGGCCTCTCGGAGAAGAAAACTATGGTTCCTCACCATGACGGTGTATTTGTGAGAAGGTTTCATCGAACAGCATTCCGTTTGTTTATCCTCTTGTTTCCCTCCCGCCGCTTCCATACGCCGCCATTGGAGAGGGCGGCACTTCTATGCACTCTTTCCTGGAGTCGGCCCGACGGCCGCTGGCTCTTCGGGGCGAATTGTCGGACTTCTCGAGCCTGCGGAGAGAAGGGCGAGGATGCGAGGAGGATCGGAGGAAGACCGGAGGAGGATGAACAGGAGGAGGACCGGAGGAGGAGGAGGAGGAGAAGAAGAAGAAGAAGGAGGAGAATGATCCAAGGACGAGGATGAGACAGGTGGCTGAGCACTGGGCAGCCAAGACCAGGCGCATGCAGCGACACAGACACAAACGCAACACAGATAGCAAAAAACTCATCAGGAGTTCAGTGCCAGGCCCACGGGCCGTCGAATGATGATCTAGGATGGAAGCACTGTGCATCATCGCCAGAACTACCCTCGCCCCCACCGGGAGAGGCTCACTTAGATTTCCCAGCGGACCCAATCCACGTGAGCGACGCAACAAAACGGGGTCGTCTGCGCCGACATTGGCGCGTGAGCTGCCCGCGTAAGGTCGCGCGTAAGCGCCTTCAATGTGGCGTGCCGCGCGGGCGGCCCGCGTAAGCCGCCGCGTAAGGTCGCTACGTCATCTCGCGTAAGACGCGTGTTTGATCGTCGCCCACGTGGAGGGGCCTCGTTCCTTATCTAGGGTTCATTAGGTCAACGCCCCGACTGCACCCAAGGAGACGACACCTTTCCCCATCTAGAGAAGTAGGTCGGCCAGCAGGGCCAAGGTTTCCCAGGTCTTGGGGTGGTCACGGAGAGGCGCTGGAGATCTCCATGTCAGCAGGCAACGCCCGGGAGGGTCAATTCGGCATCCGCAGCCGTGGTCGGAGCAGTCCAGGATGAGAATCCCAGCGAGTCCGGCTTAGTCCCGCCTATATTCGCGCTTACTTCGTTCAAATCCTGGGATTATTCTGGGCTCGTCCGGCTCAATAGCCCCGTAATCGGGCTTCTACAGTGAACCCGCATAGCAAGGATGGGCAACCTTCCGAAGGGTACCGTTGCATCCTTACCTCCTCGGTCCATCCTTGGCCACTTTCGTTGGCCGCGCCCCGCTCGAAAAGCTTCGAAATGGGCTTCCAAGGCCCTTGCATCCTTCTCGCGCATCCTTAATCTACGGGTTGACTGTACTGGCCCGCACTCGCCCACACGAAGACCTCCCAGGAGTTGTTTCCTAAGCCCGGGGGGGGGAGGAGGGGGGGCACGCACTGAGGGCACGACGCCCGGGCCCCCTGCCCTCTCGACGAGCCTGCCCCCCCCCAACCCCCGCGGCCCGCGCAGAGGCTGTGCCCCAGCGGGAGCCTGTGCGGCATCTGCTCCCACCTGGCGCAGACGCTGGCAGAGGCGGGCCCCGGGGTCGACCCGATCGGCCCGATTCGATGCCGAGGCTGGCCGGCTCGGCCCGATTCGGTTCCGACGTGCCGACGATCCGGTGCGGCCTGGTGCTCAACAGGGCGCTGCTGTGCATCCTGGCGCAGCCATGCGATTCTATTCCGACTCCATGCCGATGCGGCCCGATCCGAC